AAGAAAGCTGTGTACACACAGAGGTTTCAAAAGGCAATATTGTCTTGCACTTATTCAGCCATAGACCTGTAACAGCAGAATTTGAAACTGAACCATTTTTTCCTGCTCCCCAGAACCATGGAACTGGTTTAGAATTGGACAAAGAGTTGGATCATTTTAGTCTTTAGGACAGGATGGAAGACCTCTTGATGGACTCCCCATGGTCAATGGTATAATACAATGGGGTTTAAAGTCCAGAAGCAGTGGGAGGGCAGTAGGTCACCCTTGCTAACTAAGTTAAGCTTTGCAAGAGGTTACCTGCAACAAGCAAGTCAACTTACACTCTGAATGATGACAACAGCAAAACTGGCTGTTCTGCCTTACAGAGTGGTTCTGTACAACCAAATACTGAAGGCTTGGCTTTTAATGGGACAGGGAAAGGAAACTGAATGAAAATATACCCCTTGTAACATCAGGGGTTTCAGGTTCCAGCAGAATAATCTAACTCTACATAAAGAGACATAAAACATTAGCAATATGCTTTCTGTTTCTCAGCTTTCCAGTATTTCCCCCTGGAGAATTCAAAGGCCTAATGCTCTTTCCTAAGGGTTAAGTTACAGTGGTATTCCTTTTTAGCCATAATCCCTGCATTATGAATGTTCTGCTTTGTTCTGCTCATTCTGTGTAATAGACTCTATTACTATGTGGTATAATATTTAGCCTACTTTTGCTGCAGTTCCTCACACCTTTTCAGATCAGCTTATTTCCCTTCATCACCTATATTGTTTGTTGTAATAGTTTGCAGCCAATGTCAGTTTGCAGCTGCTGTTTCTTGTTTTCTAGGTCAGATCTCATCTCCTTCCATAGCCACCCAAATCGCTAGAAGTCAGTTGTCGATTTGCAGAAGTCTAAAAGTTCAAAGATTTAATGAAAGCTAGGGACAAGAGATAAGTGGATTCTCTCCCAACATTTGCAATGAAAGTTGGGAGGAAAACTTAAAAAAAAATTGATATATTTTAAAACATGTCAATAAATGTACAAGTGTTAACTGGATAAGCCAGTAAGGTGAATGAGCAACAGTACAATCCCATCTAGGTCTACTTAGTAGCAGTGATGGGGAATAAATTTGATTCAGTTTGCATTTAAAGATGAATCTATCAAATTCACACTTGCCCAGATTTTTAAGACAGCTCTTCAACCAATGTTTACAAAAAATAATATATTAGAGGAAAGTGTGCATAACTATATTAGTGAAAATCACATACAAAAACATGCATAGTATTAGGAGAAATCGCTTGCAAAAATAGCATACATTAGTCAAAACGGCATACAAAAATTTGCACTAAAATTTCTCCTAATACATTGCAAATTGCTGTAGAATGTGGAAAACTGAATCTGAAACAGTGGTGGGACATGGGTGGAATGATAATCTGTAAGAAACAAAATTGTCAGGTCTTTCCACCCCTACTCAGAAGTAGCACCATTCACTGCAATGAGACATTCTTTCAAATAAGTGAGGGTAGGGTTGCAGTCTATATGGAAAAAGTGGGCAGATGTGAACATAGGAAGCTGCCTTATACAGAATCAGACCATTGGCCTGTCTAGGTCAGTGTTGTCAAGACTGACTGTCAGCAGCTGTCTGGAATTTCAGATAAGGAACCTTCCCCAGCCTTTCTTGGAGATGTTGGGTTCTGTGTTTTTGCAGCGAACAGAGTTCCGTGCAGGAGTTCCATACAGTACAGTGGTACCTCGGGCTACAAACGCTTCAGGTTACGCAATTTTGGGTTGCGCACCGCGCCAAACCCGGAAGTACTGGAATGGGTTACTTCTGGGTTTCAGTACTCGAGCATGCACAGAAGCACCAAATCGCGCTTTGCGCATGCACAGAAGTACCAAATCGCAACCCGCGCGTGCACAAACACGGTGCTGCAGGTTGCGAACAGTGCAGGTTGAGAACGTGCCTCCCGCACGGATCATGTTTGCAACCCAAGGTTCCACTGTACACTGAGTTCCATGCAGAAATGTCAAGGCCCCATAGATCTGAGCTGTGCATTGTTTTATTTCCTTGAGGGATTTAGTCAGTGGCCTTGAAGCTCCTCAGGCAGGCATTCTCTTCGAGCTACAAGGTCCAAGCTTAGAACATCATCTCCTAACTGACAGGAACATTTTGTACAAAGATTACCATAATAAAGGACAAAAGTGGTAGGGACCTAACAGAAGCAGAAGACGTCAAGAAGAGGGGGCAAGAATACACAGAGGAATTATACCAGAAAGATATGGATGGCTCGTACACCCCAGGTAGTGTGCTTGCTGGCCTTGAGCCAGACATCCTGGAGAGTGAAGTCAAATGGGCCTTAGAAAGCACTGCTAATAACAAGGCCAGTGGAAGTGATGATAATCCAGCTGAACTATTTAAAATTTTTAAAGATGATGCTGATGTGGGAGGGGTTAACAAGTCTCAGATGTAGGGATGGGGAACCTGTTGCTCTCTGGATTGTTTTTGTTCATAGACTCATAGAATTGTACAGCAGGCCACAAGTGTCATATGGTCCAAGCCCCTTGTCATTGGATAGCAGCTCCTATCAGCTTCAGTCAGCATGGTCAATGGTCAGGGCTGATTGGAGCAGCAGCCTCACAACTTGGGTGGGACGCCCCGCCCCCAGGACACAGGACACGCCCCTGCAGGCAGTGCATCCCGCCCCCAGGATGCATGCCCGCCCCCCCCACCTGCTCTCCACCCCCCCCCCCCCGGTGCCAGAGCATGCAGCTCCACCACTGATGCCAGCTAGTCAACTTAATTTCTTCCATTGCTTTCAGTTGGACATGCAATCCACAGTCCTGTGCAGATGTTCATAAGGCTTACTGTCTGAAGCTATTGCATATTTGGCCATAAATACTAGAGAGTTCTGTGATAGGTGTGCAGATAGTAGCCCTACAGCACAAACCGATGCATTTTTACTTGGAAACAAGTCTCACTACTTCCGCTGGGACTAACAATCATAATCCTAAGCATTTCTACTTAAAAGTATTTTTTTTTTTTTTACAATATCCTTTTTGCTTTAATAAAATTTTATGAGTTTTTAAACCATTTAACAAATTCAGTTCAATTTCAATACAATATGCCCTTATAATTTTGGCTTCCCACCCTTTATTCCATGATGTTTCAATTCAAATCATTCATCTCCTGCCATAAAAGTAGTATGTCTCCAAAACATATACCCTATATTACATTCCTTTATCATTCCTCAAGTCCTGCCTGTGATTTCATTTGACTATATTTTCTCAGATAATCTGAAAAGGGTCCTTTCCCAGGTTGACATGTCCCATCTGCCCCTCACTTCCCTCCTCAGCACATGCAGAAACCTTCTTCTTGACCATTAGACCCACTATTGGCCTTGCCTCTGCTCAATTCACCAGAGCCTCTCTTCATATGCAGGGGAAGTGCCTTACTCACCGAGGGTTTGGGACCCAACAGCTGCCCTCACTTGCTTTAATCAGCCAGTCAAAGCCTTTTCCTGTGGTGTGGCCGCTGTCAGTGTTGCAATGTTGTCATGCTGACAGTTTCTAGGGGCCACAGGTGAGCTCTGAGCACAGGGTGGGGGCCAAAGATGGACAAACTACCTCAGAAGGAGCACAACTTTTCCCCCACCAGAGGTACTCCTCTTCCCCTAATACTCCACACCCTTCTTAGAAGAACTTCCTCCCAGGAAAACGGGCAAAGGATTGCAGCCTAAAGTAATTTCTAGTGAATCCAATGGGACTTAACAGATGCATGGGATTGCAGCCTTAACTACAGTGGTACCTCAGGTTACAGATGCTTCAGGTTACAGACTCTGCTAACCCAAAAATAGTACCTTAGGTTAAGAACTTTGCTTCAGGATGAGAACACAAATCGTGCTCCAGCGGCGCAGCGGCAGCAGGAGGCCCCATTAGCTAAAGTGGTGCTTCAGGTTAAGAACAGTTTCAGGTTAAGAACGGACCTCCGGAACGAATTAAGTTCTCTACCACTGTACAACTACATAAACCAAACCAGGGCCACACATGAAATAGAACAAGCTGATTTAGGGATTTTTTTTTTATCTTCCTGGAACAGAAATCCACAATGAAAAATTAATTGTATTAAAAAAGTGTCTATTGCCATTATAAAACGAAATAATAAAAAACTTTTACGAAATGGTGTCCTATTGCCCTCTACTGGCAGGCAAAGGGGAGGAACCCAAGTGAAAACTTTCGAAGCATAAATATACAGTGGTACCTCGGGTTAAGTACTTAATTCGTTCCGGAGGTCTGTACTTAACCTGAAACTGTTCTTAACCTGAAACACCACTTTAGCTAATGGGGCCTCCCACTGCCGCCGTGCCGCCAGAGCATGATTTCTGTTCTCAACCTGAAGCAAAGTTCTTAACCTGAAGCACTATTTCTGGGTTAGCAGAGTCTGTAACCTCAAGCGTATGTAACCCGAGGTACCACTGTAGATCTAAAGGTAAAAGTAAAGGGAAGCCTGACCGTTAGGTTCAGTCGCGGACGACTCTGGGGTTGCAGCGCTCATCTCGCTTTATTGACCGAGGGAGCCGGTGTACAGCTTCCGGGTCATGTGGCCAGCATGACTAAGCCGCTTCTGGCAAACCAGAGCAGCGCAGGGAAACGCCGTTTACCTTCCCGCCAGAGCGGTGCCTATTTATCTACTTGCACTTTGACGTGCTTTCAAACTGCTAGGTTGGCAGGAGCAGGGACCAAGCAACGGGAGCTCACCCCGTCACAGGGATTTGAACCGCTGACCTTCTGATTGACAACCCTAGGCTCTGTGGTTTAGACCACAGTGCCACCCACATCCCACATCGCCATCTATTTAATGCTATAAACAGCATGTGTGCCTTTGGTTTAGCAAATGGGTGAGAGAGGCAGTTGAAAGTGGATATTTAAACGTGTTGGGATATTAAATATCTTGGATATTTAAAGGTGTTGTCTTCTTTTAAAATGTGTTTCTCCCTGCCCACCACAACAAACCAAAAAGTCAATTGTGACAAAAGAATTTAATAGTAAACAAAGTGTGGGAACAAAATACAAAAAAAGAAAAAGAAAATGTGCTCCAGAAAGGCAAGGATTACAAAAACATATATACATTCCATACATTTCAAAAGAGACATTTCTTTCTTTCTTTTTAAAGAATAAACAATAAAGAATAAAGAACTGAACAGAAACCAGGAATGTATTGATTTGTGTATCCTTTACATAGAAGAAGAGGATCAGGAATGGCAGGACAGCATTCCAAGACAATAGCCCACCAGCACTATACTATTAAAGTAGTATCATACCACTTTAAACCGTCACGGCTTCCCCCAAAGAATCCTGAAAGATGTGGTTTGTTCAGGGCACTGAGACTTGTTAGGAAACCCTCAGAGAACTACAATTCCTAGCATTCCTTGGGAAGAAGGATTGATTGGGAACTGTAGCACTGTGATGGGAACAGGGGTCAACTCTCAGTACCCATGGCAAAGTTACCAGGATTCTTTGGGGGAAGCCACCGCTGTTTAAAGTGGTATGATACTGCTTTAAATACCTAGTGCAAAAGGAAGACATCATTATGTGTAGAGCAGCCTTTGCCAACCTGGTGCCTTCCAGGTGTTTTGAACTACAAGCCCCATCAGCCTTAGCCAGCATGTGCTAACTGGAGCTGATGGGAGTTGTAGTTCAAAACATCTGAAGGGCACCAGGTTAGCAAAGTCTGGTATCGGAGGTTGATCCCAAGTTAGAATTTCACAGCCAGTTTCTTGGACTGGGGCTCAAAAGGATCATAAGGAACAGGGGAAGACCTGAGCAACTATAAGGCTTCCTGTTTTCCTTGGAAGGGAACAGAAACAACCTATCCACTTCATCCATCGCCAGCGACAAGATGCTTTGGAAAATCTGAGGGGCTGCAGCAGATTCAGATTCTGAGTATGCTCAGCAAGAAAACTCAACTCTGCTTGGTGTTACGTATGCTCTTTACAATGCATAACTGGTTCAGACATCTATGCCAAAGCCTGAAAAAAATATTAAGCTAGATTTGTTGTATTTGCAGACAGTTCTGGATAGGCATGTGGACATTCCTGAATGGTTGAATCAAGTGCTATTTTACTGGCAATCATTCATTGCCAAGAGCAGCACTATCCAGTTGTGCCCTTTCCCACAAATAAACACACCTTGAAGTCATGGCTGCTATTCTGCTGCCTGTATAGGTAAAAACTAGGATGGGCAGCAGTAGATGTTTGGGGGAAATGGAGTTGAAAGGGTTACCATGAATTGCCATTGGGTCTCCACACAAGGGCAGTCAATATGATGACCTCCAGATGATGCTAGGACTACAACTTCCAACATGCTTTACCAATGGTCCCACTTGCCAGGGTGGATTGAGCTGTAGTCCAGCATCTTGAGAGCACCACATTGGGTACCTCTTCCATTGAGCGACAAGTACTTTGGACTGGCTCTAAACATCTGGAAAATCGGTACAATCCGTCTCCTTGCACAACCATATCTCCCATACAATAGGAAGTCTGTGTGTGAGAGATGTCTTTGGTTACTATCAAAGCAGGCACTGGTGTTGCACTTGCTGTCAGAAAACTAAGTTCACTATTTGAAGAACAGAACACAGCCACCATCTTTGTAGCCTCACCATCAGCCACTGGCAATCCAGGGCCTGCTTAGGGTTTCTGTCTTTTTGGCAGAAAACAGAAAAGCCAGAAATACCAGCACAATATTTTCCACCCAGTGCAGGAATACTGTATCTCAGGTGGCTTTTTTTAAATGGGAAATGTGTAACCACCTTCAAGGTCCTTCTCAGCAGAGTCTTTGACCTTAACACTGATACTGTAACATATGGCCAAAGATTCCTGGAGCAATTATTGTCTTACAGTGAAAAGCACCCAGTGTATTAATAATTCCAATGGTTACCCTCATATTAAATGTGTGGTAGAAATCCCCCCCCCCCAATTCACCAGTGCTTCCCATCATCCCTCCAAACCCTCAATAAATGATCACAGTGAAAACATTAGTATATGCTATTAATGCAGCTATTGGCAGTGTAGACAGTTCTTCCGAATGGCTACTGAACAATCTGAGGCATTTCACTCCATGCTTTGGCCTTTTTCCTGGCCAGAGAAAGCCAAGGTGGCTCAGCAGGGCTGCACGATGACATTGGTAGGCTTGGCAATGGCCTCGTTTCCTTTTCCATTTGAGGGGCTTCCTGAGGCTTTGTTCTAACAGATGTTGCTGGGGAGAAAAGGAGGACATTAAGTAGGCTCTATGGGGCTAATGAGCACACCCCAAGCATCACCCTTTGGAAACAACCACCCAAGTAGGACAGAACCACCACAAAACATGCCACCCACCCCTCAGCTTGGACAGTTGCTACAGAAGGATTCTATGGTTGATGCCATCAAAAGCTGCTGAGAAGTCAAGGAGAATTAATTCTCCTGCCTCTCTCCTGACAAAAATCAATATACAGAGCAACCTAAGCATTTTTTGTGTCAAAATTGGGCCTAAACTCCAGTTGAAATGGATCTAGAAAATCAGTTTCCTCTGAGAAAGCAAGGATCTGGTCTTTCATCACCCGCTTAAGAACCTTGCCCAAGAAGGAGAGATTGACAACAGACAGGAAATTGCTCAGATTTTTTGAATCCAGGGAGGGTTTCTTAAGGAGTGGTCTTATCGCTGCATCCTTCAAGCAAGCACGAACCACTTCCTCACAAGAAAACATTAATCACCTCCTTGGCCGAGCCAGCTGTCTCCTCCCTGCTAGTTTTTATCAGCCAAGAGGGCCAGGGGTTCAGAGAACAGGCGGTCACTCTGACCGATCCAAGCGCTATGTCTGTGTCCTTGGGCCTTACTGAAACTCATCCAACAGGACAAAGCAGTGCCATGTAACCCCCTTGAGATTAAACTGCGTAACACTGGAGATGAGTTCTCAGCAGATGCAAGTGATTTATTCTTCAAAATGCTTTGTCAACAAGTCACAGTGAGCTCTAATCAGTTTTGCTACCTCCTTTGGGCCAGACTGTAAAAAGTCTCATGCTACCCGGGAAAGTTTTGCATAATGAGGATGCAATCCCTAGCTAGCAGGATGAGCGGTCAGGGATGATGCAAACTGTAGCCCAACAACTGCTGGGAACCCAAGTTTGAGAAACACTGGCTTAAAACAATAAGTGAGAAGCTGTGGCCCTCCAGAGGTGGCCCATCAGCCCCAGCCAGCATGCCCAATGGTCAAGGATGGTGGGAAGTGGATTCCAACAGCACCTGGAGGGCTGCAGGTTCCCCATCCCTTGGTTAGGGGATGGCTTCCTGATCCTGGAAAGTGGGGGTCATCAGAGTGCAGGAATTATTGTCTTCCTCAATTAAGGGATGGTGCCTGTGGTGCCTGTGTCGCTGTGCTTCAATAAACTGTGGTTAAGGCAGAGTAAGAAGGGGAAGAAGAGCTATAGCTCATCTACTTTGTATGCAGAAGGTCCCAGCTTCAATCCCTGGCAATCCTTGGGAGAGATTCTGCCTAAAGTCCTGGATGGCTGCTGCCTATCAGGGTAGACAGCACCAAATTAGATAGATCCATGGCCTGATTAAGTCAAAGGCAGTTTTCTAAATTCACAAAGAGATGTGAAATTCTCCTGGAAAGATGGAAAACATGTTGAAGGGGAGGTAGTGAATCTTCTTTCCTGGAAGAACTGTCAACGCTGTACCTCCACCTGTGCTCTGCTTGTTTATTTGTAAATAAGTCGTATGTCCTGGGTGATCAAGGGTTGTCTAGGCTAACCTCCCACTATGCAGGAATCTTCTTCAAAATGAACCCAAGTCTCAGTGAAGACTGCCCCTGAAGTTTTTCACTGCCCATGGAAGAATTGCATGCATGCATCATCCTGCAATATATCCAAATATAGCTGCTATTTCCATCCAAGCACGGTGCTATATCAAAGTTTAAACATCCCTTCCACGTTAGTTGAGCTCAATGGGGGAAGGTTAAATAACCACTCCTGTTCTTTTTTCCAGTTTTTAATACCTTTTATAGCTGATGGAGCCATCTTCAATGGGACTTTACTCTCAAGTGTACGTACTTGAGGAGCGCTGGTCTTCTTCAGTATATTCTCACTGGTAAAATTGGTTTGCTATAAGGCAAAAGAAGAAGAATGCAATTCATGCACTGCAGAGCAGATGAAGCTTGAGTGACTTAAGTCCATTGACTTCAATCAGTAACATATGACTAGTGTTGGATTTCACCCAATGGTTTTTCCAGTTTAACAAACAGTGGTTTAGAAAGTTGGGAGTGAGCTTCAGGCCTAGGCACTCCTTTTCCCTTCCTCCCATTGCAATTGCATCCTAATTACTACTGAAATAGGGAACTCTGGTTTAATGTCAGTGTATTAATCAGGACTCTAAGCCACAGTCAAATCCTTGTTTAAGTGCCTAGTAAGCAAACCAACACAAATCCAGAGCATAGCTGTCAACCTTCAGATTTGAAAATAAGGGATCAGCAGCCTCGAAAATAAGGGATCAGCAGCCTCACCTGTCTCGGGGACAGTCTACGGGATATCTAACAATCCGGGATAGCAGCGGGAAGCAGCGGGAAACGGCGATGGAATAAGGGAATTTCCCTCAAAAATGGGAAGGTTGACAGCTATGATCCAGACGGATTCTTCCTACATTGCAGCTTGTATGCCACTTTGCAAGTCACCATCAAAATCCTATCACTAAACTTATATGCAAATTAGAAACTATAAAAATCTAAAACTGAGCAGCATTTGAAAAACACGTACATAAACGTTTTAAGAGCCAGCCTAACTTCATCAAGCCTTAATTACAGGCTCAGTTCCCACTTCTGTCCAATATATCAGACCCAGGAGACGAAAGACATAAAAAGTAACTTTGATTTATACAGACCAGGGTTGAAGCATCAAAGGGGAGTGCAGACTTGGCACTGGCTTCTGGCTTCCTAAAGAAAGATTTACCACAGCAGGACTGTTCCATCTGAAAGATGAATGGGTTGGCTGAGCCATGAACAGTTTCTGTGCATAAAGTACTCCCACAACAGTCATAGAAACATAAGAAAGTGACTTATGCTGAGAAAGACTTTTGTTCCATCCACTGACTAACAGTCGTTTTCTAAGGTTGCAGACCCACAGCCTCTTCTGCTGACTCTCACAGATTCAGAGTCAGCTCCTGACAGGAACCAGGGTAGCATCAGGACATGCGTCAGGACACAGACATCAGGACATACATAATGAACACAATGCCCTGGAACAAGGTTTCCCAAACGTGGGTCTCCTCCTGCTGTTTTGGGACTATAGTTCCCATCATCCCCTGACCACTGGTCCTGCTAGCTAGGGATAATGGGAGCTGCAGTCCAAAAACAAATGGAGACCCAAGTTTAGGAAACCCTGCCCTAGAGACCATTATACTGAGGAGAGGGTGAAGCTCTCAGGAAGTCATACGCTCGACCTCCGCTGGTGTTACTATGGTAACCCAGTGCACCTGGAAGCATTATCTCAGAACATCAAGACGTGTGGGATGTGCTCCTCAACTCAAGAGCCCAAGCACTGTGTACTTTAACCCATTGTTCACATGACACCAAAACAAAGTACCCTACACACAAACCCAGAGACCATGTCTAAACTAAGCAGGTTGTGCTTCCTTCCCTGCAATTGTCACAATTTTGAAGTCAAGTTTTGAAGAGTTAGGCTCTTAAAAAAAATAAATCCTGATATCCAAAAGTATTAGTGAGAGTGGCCATGGCTCAGTGGCAGAGCATAGGCAGTTTAATCCCTGGTAGCCAAAGCTGAAGGGGTACTTAAGTAGCAGATGATGGGAACAATGCTGGTTCTAGGTTCTGCAAAGGTGCTTCTTTGGACACCTCTTAGGCTCCTCTCTTGCTCTCCGAGGCACTGCTACCCATTCCTTGCTCCAGACAACCACCTACTAAGGCCTGTGGATGGTGCAGCTGTGTCCCTTCGCTCATCACTGCCTGCATGCTCAGAGAAGGAGGTGAACACAGGCAGTGACAGCAAAGAGGAGCAGGAAGATAAGTCTGCATGCAGAGTGTGGCAGTGGTCAGGGGCCAGGGCCTTGAAAAGAGCCCAGTAACACCTGCCCTTGGTGCTGGCCCTGGATTGGAAGAATCCTGTTGAAACCCAAAGAGCCAAACAGTCTGACCTGATGAAGCAGCTTTCTACATAACTATACACGCACGCACGCACACACACACGTACTCATGTGACAAGGTGCACAATTACTGAAAATTAAAATCAGAAATAAAACAATCAGTCAATCTCCGAGTATACCAACGGAGAGCATCCTACAAAACTATCCCGCTAAATGATATGGACAAGGGTCAATATGCAGCCACCTTTTCCTGCTGAGAAACGCTGCTGTGCTTCTCCCCTCCTTGTTCAGTTCTGGCAGAGGTTTTATCCTCGCATTTCTGTTCTTTCGCAAGAGGGTGACCCTGGAAGCCTTTCTGCTTTAGTTTTGCCATCAGAATCCATGCTGGTTCAGAGGATGTGCTTTCCAGATGTGAGGCCGGGGTTTGCCCTAGGGATTGAAGAGAAGCTGATCAAACTTTCACACTGGCCTCCCTCCCGGTGCACCGGACGCATGCAGAGCGCCATGCAGCCTTGGTGAAAAAATCTGTTTGGGGACTGCAATCACACGATCACATACACTTAATCCACACACGGACAGGCACAATCGCAAATATGTAAGATTATTATTATTCATCAACTGTATATATTTCCCTTCATCCAAAGGTCACAGTATAAAAACACAAAATACATAACATAAAAACACAAAATACATGACATAATTAAGAAAACAATACCCCCGCTGCCGCCCACCAACACTTTAAAAGGCTGTAGATTGTTTAATCAGCGAAAGGCCTGGGTGAAGAGGAAAGTTTTTGCTTGACACCTAAAGATATGTAAAGGTGGCACCAGGTAAGCCTCTCTGGGGACAGTATTCCATAAATGGGGAGCCACATGTTCCCATGTTGCCGCATTCCAGACCTCTTGTGAAGGAGCTACACAGAGCAGGGCCCCAGATGATAATGACAGGGTCCGGGTCGGTTCATAGGGAGAGAGGCAGTCCTTGAGGTATTGTGGTCCTGGAACAACCTGGCCACCAGCTGAAGTTTCTGAGCTGTCTTCAGAGGCAGCTTCACCTCTAACACATTGCAGTAATCTAACCAATAGAGCATAGACAACAGTATAGGCTATCCCTATCCAGAAAGGGGTGCAGCTGGGCCACCAACTAAAGCTGATAGAAGGCACTCCAGGCCACTGAAGCCACCTGAGCCTCAAGTGACAGCAATGGATCCAGAAGAACCCTAAAGCTATGTACCTGAACCTTAATGGGTAGGAGTGAACCCCCATTAAGAGCAGGTCTGGGGAACCGCCCACTAACAGTGCCTCCATCTTATCTGGATTGAGCTTCAGTTTGTTGACTATCATCCAATCCATTATAGAGGAAAGACAACAGTCCAGCACATCTACTGCCACACCAGCAGATGTAAAAGAAAACTCCAAAACTCTGGATTACCCCAACTCAACTGTTTCATGCCCTGATGCTGCCCTGAGTACCCAGGTGGGTACAAGCTGGTTGAGACCAACTGCACCCTACTCACCCAGGTCTCAGTGATACAGACTAGTTCAGCCTCCTCATCCACAATCAGATTCTGTGGTGAGGGAGGTCTTACTCAGCACTGACTTAGCATTCAACAGCAGCAGTGGCAGACCAGAGGGTGGCTGATATGACAAAGCTACTGCCCATGGAAATAGAGGTATATTATTAATCCTTAGTAAGTCTGTTCAAGTCCACACAGACACACACACACAGTTTGTAAAAAAGGAAAGTTATTAAACACCCTTTTATTGATCCAGACTCTGCAAAGTGCGTAATTCCAAGAAGAGGAATTCAAATCATGTCAATGCACAGCTGAACAGCAAACCCTGCATTACAGTTATTCAAAGTCTCAAACGTCAAAATGCATCCTAAAAACTGCAAAAACTGTTCAAGCTATGGTTCAGATGATCTATTTCTAACTGACGTAGTGCTTATGTATCTGATTGATGGATTTTTGGAATGAATGAAAGTAAACTCAAATGTTTTTATTGGTTTATTATGTCCCAACGTTCTGTGAACTTGAAATAGCATATATGCACAAAAATAACAATTTAAAAGTCCACTGTGTTCATAGTGCAGCCATGCCCACAGAACCTGTATAAAAACGTGGTTTTCTGAATGTATATACAGGGGTGGAATTTTGGCATAAATGCAACCTACACATTAAGAAATAAAGGTAATTATGTACACCATATACAGACAACTTGTCGAACCACAACTCCCATCGTACATGAGCACTAGCTATGCTGGCTCAGGCCAATGGAAGCTGGATTCCAGCATCATCTGTTGGGCGACATGCAGATGTTTGCAGCATGAAACACAGCTGTTTCACACATCTGCCATAACGTGTAGCACTCTCCTGAGCATTCATGCATTACCAAGCAGCCAACAAGCAGATGCCTCTAATAACGCAAATACCTGAGAGCTTGCCTATCTGCTGCTTGGCTTCATCTTCGTCAGGTTTGATGGCTTTGATGGGGTGGTTCTCCTTTTGGAAGATGGGTTTTGGAACCGAAGCTTGAGTGCCACCTGTCAGATTTTGGGGAGGCTTCCCAGAACTTGATGGCATCAGATCTTCTTTGACCAAAGTAGAAGAGGTTCCTGGAACCACAGATGTCAGTTGCTTTGCAGGCTCGTGATACTTCTGCTGGGTTCGGTATTTCAATAGAGAGGGTGTTCTCCTCAGCTTAACCCCAAATGGGCTCTCACGGTCAAGCATATTTTCTTTTGGCCATTCGTTTGCAGAATTTAAGTTGGCGCCAACAGTCCCATTACCCTTGTCAAGACACTCTGGGCTCCTTACTATATATCCCTCTGTGGCTGCATCCAACTGGGGCATTCCTTCAAACAACTCTGGTCTTATGGGTGAAGAAGGGGTGCTTCCAGGGCAGGAACTATCCATGGAACTCGAACCCCCCGAAAGAGACCTCTGCCAGGCTGATGCAATGGTGAACCTGGCAGGCTTAGCAGAAGAGGACTTTGGGTGGGCCTTGGCAATCTCATCTGGACCTTTGCTTTCTTCCATTTTCACACTTCCTGGTAAGTCTCCGGCCTCGTCATCAGAACAGCTACTTTTAGGAGCAACCTTGGGGGATCCTGCAGAGGACAGACCTACCGGAGAAGGGTTGCTCAGGTTTCTAAAGCTGGCATCCTCTTGCCCGCCTCGGCTGCTGTTCAAATCAGAACAATAAGGTTCATTTGGGTGGATAGGTTTCTCACCCACGGCACTGTGAAGTGGAAGCTCATCTACTTGGGAATCTGAGATGGCTGGTCCTCCCTGTGGAAAAGCTGTTGGCTTTGTGTGGCCTTTGCACAGTTGAATTTCCATATCTGCAGACCGTCCTCCTGTAACTTCTTTGGGTATCTGGTGTTTTTCAAGGGCTGAGTCTACAGCCTTCTCTGCTTCTGTGGGAGCCTCCATAGTGGATGCAGAAAACTGTGGACCGTGCAGTGCAGGGTCTTCCTGAAGCGTGTCCCTGTCACCAAGCCTATCTTCTGCTTTATAAATATGTATTGCATCACTGCCATCAATGGAGTCTTTTGCTTTTTGATCTACAGGTTGTAGGCAAGGTATGTTGTGACACTCTTCTGCTGCATCAGGGTCCTTATCCATGCTATTCCCAGGCAAGGCAGCATCTAAGCATCTAATATCTTCTGTTTCAGTCTGCAAAGGTTCAAATTTCTCAATGATCTCTTTCACGGAGCTCTGTGAGTTCGACGTGACGTTATCAGTTGGTTGCCCAGTTGTTTTCACCCCTTCCTCCTCCATCTCTTCTTCTTTGTGCTTTGTTAGAGAGGACAGTGCATTTGGACAGGACACTGTTACAGAAGCCTGGAGATCTGTTTCCATACGGTTCTGGTTCTCAGATTCTAATCTGCAATTCTCCTCAGCACCAGGGCCAGCATTCCAAGAATAATGCAAAGCATCAGAGGCCCTTGTCATGGATAATGCATCATTAGTTTGACTCCCATTTAAGTTACTGGTATTCTGGATTGATAGGCCTAAGTAAGAAAGGAGGAGAGAAGAAGATGGTTAAAGAACACAAGAAGCAGAGTCAGATCATTGGTCCATGTCATGGGCTGGCTGGATGCAGAGGAATGGGGGAGGTACCAGCTGCTTTTGGCTCTGCAGGGTTTCACACAGAAGTCTTTCCCATCCCTATCTGGAGATGCTGGTAACTGAACCTGGGACCTTTTGCATTGCAAACAACGTATTCTTCCATAGGTCTCTGATCTGCAGAACCAATACAAACCTCAACGCTCTTCCCCACACTCTCCCACATGTGCTGGCACATGCATGATCACACTCTTGCATGCACGCACACGCACGCAAACACACACACACACACACACACACACACACACGGAGGCCATTACCTGCCAAGCCCTCCTTTTTTCTACCATCTTCTTCAAGTAATTTTTCATGGTCTGGTTTTCCTTCTCTGGGTTTGAGAAGGCCTTGCTGTTTTGCCACCTCTTTTACCTATTGTGAAAGAGAAAGACAGTTCAGACAATTTGCAGAGGGCACAGATTCCATTTTTTAAACTGAACATAAACAAAAAGGGCTTTCAACCAACAAAAAGGGGGTTGGGGGTTGATCAGCTGCCTGCCTTTTTAAGGCAGCCAACCAATTTCACAATGTAATATTGAAAGGCGCTGTTGGGAACTTAGAATGGAAAGTGAAAGGGGGAAATGATTCCTTTGTTTTGCATCAAACTTTTATTCTTCAAGAGCTTCTGTACAAGATCCAAAGAGAACAGTGTTGATGGAACCATAGGTAAAGGAAACTCATTTGTTTTAACACACCCCTTGACCTCAAGGCAGCTTACGACAATAGACCAATAAAATGTGACAAAGTAGAATGGATAAAGTGGCATGAATCTAACACCTACCCTTCCCAAAGCCTGGCAGACTACAAAAATTACAGACTACAAAAAACCATAAGGAAGAATCTCTTCCAAAAGAACCAGGAAGGAATTGGATCATCCCTCATATCTTTCTTTAAAAAAATAATAATCTACCAACCTACAAGAAGAAAACTAGCCCATCCCATTCCTTGTGAGGCTAGTTTTCTTCTTGCAATTAATAAAAAAGGCAACAATTCAAAATGCAATGCTCCCCATCAGTAACCCAAAGTAGTACAGTCCTTGCTGTCAGCTCAGAATTCTGATGCTGCAAGCATTGACGAGATCTGGGCAAGAACATTCTTGGAGCAGAGTCCTGTGTGAATATCGTAACAAACAGGAAGGCTCATAAGAGAGAATTTCTTCCAACCTCCAGAAGGCACTTACTGAAATAGCTTGGGTTTTGTGAGTGAAGGCTTTCTGCTTTCGCGGGTTTATTGCAATCTTGTGCTTGGCTGCTGATGTGTCGAGGCAGCCCAGCGGAGTGGGTGGACGGCTGAAATCAACAGGAAGCAAGTGGCAGTATGGCAAGGTAGGACTCCCAACAACTGCAGAGGGTTGTGGGCTAAGGGGTCTGGAGGCAGATTCTGAGGTGACCTGAAAAATGCAGACAGACAAGTTTAATAGGTTTCAGGCCTCCCCTATACATGTGATTGTTGCGCTAAAAACAGCAACAACAACAATTTGGGTTCAGAAGCTAAAATACTCAGATGTAAGCACGTAACAAACATTATAAGTAAGTAAGATTCCACCTTTAGACCTGGGAAAATTACTGCACTGAAGTAGGCTGTTGTCCAATCAAGTGAGTGTAATATTGTTGATAGAGATTGCTGGACTACACACTTTGAAAGTTAAGGATTCCAATCCCCACAAAACTCACAGGCTGAACTTAGGTCGGATATTGGCCTGGTGTGCACAAGGTAGGTACCATCTGTGCTATACTCTACATTTAAATCAACACCACACAATTTTAAACAGCTGTGGCTCCGCCCCCCCCAAATCCTAGGAACTGTAAGTTTGTTCAGGGTGCTGAGAATTATAGCAGATCCCTATTCCCCTCAAAGAGCTACAGTTCCCAGAGTTCCATTTAAAAGACCTATTTCATAATGCTACTAAAAGAAGAAGAAAAAGCAAAGCCAGCACAGACATAGCAATCACCCAGCACAAGCCTTATACATAAAACAACCAATTAAACCAAAGGACCATTTATTTCTACAGCTCAGTTTACAATTAGCCACACACACACACACACACACACACACACACACACACCCTGAAGGCAGAAGTAAAAGAGAGAAAAAAGACAGGTCTTTCAGACCCATGTGAAGCTATGGAGGAATGGGGGTCTGTCTGGTTCTGTGTGGGATTGAATTCTGCCGCAGCAGGAAAAGTACAAAAGGCTGCCACTTCAGCAGCAGCTGGGGAAATGGCTATTTACCTGGTCATCTTCACTGTCTGTGCCACCTAAACTCAAAGAGTTATAGTGCTGGGCAGGGATTGAGGACTGCAGGATAAAACAAGGGAAAGGGATAAGTCAGGGAAACATGGTGCTGGCATAACGTTCTCCAGGATGGCACATAAAAAGGACAGTTATGAGAAAACACAAAGGGGGTGGGGGAAATCGGGGGTGGAGGGAGGAATGTCAACACAGCACCCATCTCTCATGCATTTATGGCAATATTGCCGGCAACTATCGTTGCACTGCCAAAATAGCTGCCACTAGGACAGATGAGGTTGTACTTGTTGCTATTACAGTGGTACCTCAGGTTAAGAACTTAATTCGTTTCGGAGGTCTGTTCTTAACCTGAAACTGTTCTTAACCTGAAGCACCACTTTAGCTAATGGGGCCTCCCACTGCTGCCGCCGCACGATTTCTGGAAAAAAGCACTGCATATAGCCTTCTCCCGCTTTCCATTTTATCCTCAACTTTATCCTGTAAGGTAGGCTAGGCTGAAAGACAGTGGGCAGTACCCAAGGGACTTCATAGCTGATTGGGGAGTTGAACCCCTCCAGTGCTCTTCAGGAAAGGGCCTGCGCAGAGCAAGGACAAAGTTGTTATGTTTCAGTGCAAAGTTATGTTTGGTTTCTAAGTCCTGGCAAGTGTTTTCAATAAACTGCTGCTTCCAAAGCTTTGGGGTGCACTGGAAAGCTTTAGCCAAGTCTCCTTAAAGTTCTTAATCATGATAGCTAGCTATGGCCTCCAGCAGCAGAGGCAGCGGACCTCTGTTGCTATGCAACAACAACAGCGGGAGAGCACCCTTGCCCCCATGCCCTGCTTCTGGCCATCCCAGAGGCATCTAGCTTGCCACTGTGTAAAAGAGGATGCAAGACTAGACGGTCATTTGGTCTGGTTCAGCAGGGCTCTCCTGAGAGTTTTCTCTTTTGGCTTCATGAGACGTCTCCAAATCAGATTCGTATAAAAATGAAAGTAAAGAGGAACAGGGGCCTTAAAACCACAAGCTGCAAGCTGCAATTTCTAGGGGTGGTTTTCCATGGGAAGAGTTCCCTGTGAAGAGGGATTGACCGTGAAACCACTCTGAGCATTGTGGCTCTGTCAGGGAAATAAGGTCTCCTGGCAACACTCAAGCACCCTCTAGAAATGATGAATCCCAGGATTCTCTGTAGGAACTGTTTAAAATGGTATGATACTGCTTTAAATGGATAGTGCAGATAAGGTCTAACTTCAGGTCATTAATTTCAGTGATTCTACTCCGAGTAGGACTTCGTTGAATACAACCCTATGTTTCTTCCACGCTTCAAGAACACTCGGTATGCATTTCAGTGCCACCACTTTGTAAAATACGAAGGGCTCCAGCAGACCAATGTCTTTCTCCCCACCAGTATTAGAAACTGAAATATGAAAGCTAGGAGCTAAATGGCACCTTAAACCTAAGTTATGGGCACAGCAATGGAATGTCTAAGCACGCTTTTTTATAACCAGAATACAAAGCTGAAAATGAATGAACTGCAGCTGAAATATTATGTTCATTTTTCACATGGTCTAGTCCTTCCCCTGCCCACCCACCTAATATTCTTAAGAGGGTCTCTTCTCTAGTCTTCAGAGAGTAGCCGAAAGTGGGGAGGCAGAAAAAGGTCCTCCTTTCCTTCCACTCTGCAGTTTTAATCTGAAATCTTAGGCGCAGTACTACGCCCAGAGCTCAGAAACTGCTCGCGTTAATGAAATTCCCTGTCGCAAAATGCGCCAAGAACAATGGGAGTTTCAAACCCTGCTCCCCTCCCTTATTCATATACATGTATATGTGCACCAGTAGCAGTTTAGTCATGCTGGCCACATGACCCAGAAAGCTGTCTGTGGACAAATGCCAGCTCTCTCAGCCCGAAAAGCAAGATGAGCACTGGACTTAACTGTCCAGAGGTCCTTTACTTTTACCCTTTCACACACACACACACACACACACACACACACACTTTTCTTTTCTTTTCTTTTCTTGATTTGAGGACTGGATTAAAAAGGGGTGGGGAGGGAAACCACCATGACCATAAAGATTTGGAGAACTATCAGGATTTGTCCAAATTAATATTAAATAAAGCTGGAATGGAGGAAAAGGAAACGTGTAGTGAAACATTTGCTGTTGCCTGCCAAATGGCAGAGGCACCACACCTCATGATATAATAGACCTATTCGGGCATTATCCTTCACATGATTAAACAGTGGTGCCATGGTTAAAACACTGCAGACCAAGGTTTAAATTCCCACCCAACCATAAAGCTCATGGCGTGCTCTTGGGCCAGTTATTCTCTGTTAGCATAAGCTACTTCACAGGGCTGTTGTGAGAATAAAGCAGGGATGGAAGGGGAGGGAGAACAATGTGCTATGCCTTGAGCTACTTAGAGGAAAGTGGTAATATAAATGCAATAGTACAATTTAAAATGTGTGAAGGAGAGAGCAGGGCTGTGAGTGTGGCACTGTATGTCCTCATCCCCTGTTGGAAGCAGCCTGCTCTAATGCATGAAAGCTGATCATTCCCAGTGACTGGCGCGCACACACACACACACACACACACACACACACACACACACACACCATGCAGGAGAGGACAGTGGCCAGCAGCATACCCCACTCCCTCTCCCCACACCTCAAGATCATTAATAGTGTGAGGGAAAAGTGCCCCCAAAGTGCTATTCTCTATTATCCCTTGTGTTCAAAAGGGCACAGCACATACCTTGTTCGCAGAACAAATCAGTACATCATGGAGGGTGGAAATTCCCTTAGGACTTCTGGGTAAGCCATCGTCTTCCGAAATGCCACCCACCTCTTCCATTCTCTTGCTGGGGATAACAAGCGGTGGCGATCGAAACACGAGGTTCGGCTGTAACTGAAGCTGTTTGGGTGGAAGGAAAGGAAGGAATAAAAGTACACAGGAGTCGTCAAACATTTTTTTTAACTAGGAGGTGCAGCCCTCTTGGCAAGTACAATGCTGCTAAGGTTGTTTCGGTTTCCATTCTACCCTTACATTGCAACCTGGGCCAGCCCAAGAGAGTTTGCTACCTGAAGCCTAGGACAGGATGGTACTCTTCATTTCCACAGCTCTATATGCATTCAAAACCAGCTGTCCTGAGAGTTTAATTGCTCTTCAGCACTGGCAATGATAGCATCCTCCTCCACTGTACCTGAGGACAGCAGGCTAGCTTTGTGGGCAACAGGATGGGACAGACCTTGGAGGACACAAACGTAATAATATTCCTATTGGATCAAGTACATCCTGGCAAATTCAGGTTGCACCACTGAGGTCGACTTGGAGCTCATACATGTCAAATCTACTTCCACACAAGGCTGGACTTTTTACAATAAGGAAACTACTGAGGAAATGCAATGGGAAGTGTGGGATAACATTTGCTCAGTACAACATCATCTAACCTCCCAGCAAACAAATCTCAATAAACAGGTCACCTGGAAGTGACCAAACTTCAGAATGTGATAAAGGCTGCAAAAACCAATAACTTCAGTTTTTATCGGATATGGAGGGCAAGAAACGAGTTCCTTATAGTTACAATTGTATTGGGCATAGCTTGTAATAATAATAATAACATGCACATTTCATGGAACATGGAGACAGGGGAGAAACGTTCCAAAAGTTGATCTCCAGCACTTCAAAGAACTCCTGGTGGGTAACTGAGTCCTGCTGTGTGGTCTCTCTAAAGCAGCGTCAATTGGCTTGAGCTCTGAAATCTGTGGCATTTGTATCAACCCAATGAAAAATGTGCTCATTCAGAGAACACACACGAAAAAGGAAGGGGCAGAAATGAGCCAACGGCGGCTGTACAATATCTTCATTCAGACAAATGTCTTGATGCACATCCTCATGTGGAATTTGCATATATCCACAGCCACTCAAAGAATGAGTTCTGACTTGGAAAAGGAAGTCGCTTTTGCTATGCTGAAATGCTTTAATTTGCCATGCTCCCATCCTAAAACATGACAACCGTGTCTCTTACTAATAATGGCACAGGCTTGGCAGCAAGCATGGGCCCAGAAGTCATTTTCCCAAGATACATGATAAAGGAAAAAGATGGAAGACTGAAGGGTGGTGGGGAGGCGGTGTCCCAACAGCTGTCACTCCCCCCCACCAAGTTTTAAAAGACAAGACTGAGTGAGCTCACTTGAGAGATTCTCTCGCCTTATGAGGCCACCATGCATTGAAACACATGCTCCTCCTTGGTGGGTTCATATGATCCCACTTACAGTGGCAGCATCTGGTTCTCAGTGACAGAACTGTGCTGGAAGGAAAGGGGGATCCTGGAGAGTCCTCAACTGAACCAAGAAACCACAACCCTCGGGAGAGGTGAAGGTCCTCTTACCTGCAAAGCTTTCACCTTCCCTGGAAAGGTTTCTGGAGAGGACACTGTGAAAACACTGTCGTGCGATAAGGCTTTGTTTCCCATGTTCCCTTTGGATCTGAAATGGGAAAAAGGGGGCAGTTCAGACTTTTAAAAAAACTATATTTTAATGCTTTTAAAAAAATGTTTCTTTAAGTCACAGGCGGGGAAGCTATGACTCTCCAGATGATGCTGAACTCCAACTCCCAGCATCCTTAGCCACTGTCTTTGCTGGCAAGGGTTTATGGGGCTGATGGGAATTTGAGTCCAACAATGTCTGGATGGCTCCCATCTCTGCCTTACATTCTCCACATATACATACTAATTTTTACAACAGTCCTGTAAGGTAGGGCTGTCTTTCCTACATACCATGCACAGGGCACCAAGGCTAAGAAATAGCAGCTTAAAAAGGCACTCAGAGTGTTCAAAGCTAAGCTGGAAAAGAGGCTTCCTGGGTCTTAGAGAGTAACTCCAGCTTTCCCAAGCTGGAGCCCCCGATATTGCTGAACTACATCTCCGATCATGCCTGAGTATTGCTCCGACTTGTTGGGGCTGATGGGATTTGGTGTCCAACAGCATCTAGAGGGCACCTGGTTGGGTGGGTCTGCCACCAAAAGTACTTTATTTATTATAACTCTTATTTTATATATACTTAAGAAAACTTACTTGCTGTGCTTCTACAAGTAGCAGCCAAGGTGGCTTAACCATAAAAACCATAGTAACATAGAAAGCAGGGCAGGACCCTTAGTTTAGTGCCTATAGAAGAGCCAGATAAATAATCAGAGGCTGTGAAAGTCCTTTGTAAGGGGACCCTGGAGAACAGCCATTGCTGGGCTAGAAAGACCAGTGGTTTGACTCCATGGCAGTGGTTTCTGGTGCCCATTGGGAGGGTTGGGGCAGAAAGCAGCAAGCCCAACAGTAGGTGAAGCAAGACCCAACGACAGGCACAGCCAACTCTTCCTGGTTTTGTTCTCATCCTCCTCCCTGTTGAATTCTGCAAGGGCACCATTGAGACTAAGGAGGAGGCAGAAGCTGACACACAGTGCCATCTACTGTCTTGCTTGTTAGTAAGAAGGCAGGAAGGTGGGGGTCAGAGTGAGGTTGGTGGAGCAGTGAACCATTGATCCTAATGGAGTAGTTTCCACTGCTCAGAGGAGCAGGCCTCCTTGGAATGTGGTGGACTCTCCTTTGCTAGAGGTTTTTAAGAGCAGAGGCTAGAGAAGCAAATAAGCATGTAAGAAGATCTCTGTTGAGTCAGAGCTTTCTTGTCCAGCATTCTGCTCTCACACTGGCCTGCCAGACTGTCCTGCATTGGCAAGGTGGTCAGACTAGAGGACCTTTGGTGGCCCATTCCAACTCTGTGTTTCCTGAGTTCACTACTGCATACAACAATACACGATACAAAGCAGGCTTGGGGACTTTGTTCTTCGTGGAAATGTGGCCTAAAATAATACCTTGTATTAGTCAATAATACTGTGCACATCTGCGCTCTGTATTTTGGACTGCTGCAAGTTCAAGATTTGGCTATAGAGATCCTTTTTTATTAGTTGCAGAGTGTTGCCACTGTCTGCATATTGGAGGTGGAGGGATAAGGTCATGTTCCTCCCACAATCGTGGTATGAAATAGCTGCTCAGGCCATGATATTTCAGGTACCATATGATAACAATAAAATATTGACGAACCCACCTGCAGCACCCATGCTAATTGGTGCTGTCTGGGTGGATTTTAGACAACAGACGGTCAAATCCCATCTCTCAGCGCTTCTGTGAGCTAAAACAGTCCAGAGGGTGTGTTTTTTACTGCACTAGCTGTTTTGAGGCACGCTGCAAATGGAAAAGAGGAAATTCCTGGCATTCCAGCTGCAGCGCTGGGATTTGTTTGTGCACCAGCATGAATGAAATGTGTAGCTTGCTGTGGGACAATTCTTGCTTTTAACCTGTTGCTACAAGACAATTGCACTACCTTACCCAGGCTCTATTGGCAAATGGAGTATGCAGGAATCAAGGTTTCGGATGCTGACATCACTACTGGATTGACTTGGCTTTAATTTTATTTCTCCCAGGGAGGACGGCTGCTCCTTGTTTTTCTTCTTCTTGGAGAAAAAGTTCTTAAAAGTCTGAAACCTTGATCTCTTCTTCTCTGCACAAAGAAAATTTTAAAAGTGTCACGTCAAAGCAGTTGGCATGAAGGGGGGAAACCTCTCTGGCGTTATAATGACTGTGAGAAAATGGAAGACAACAGTATGTCCAACTAATGGCTGCCTGCTGTATTGTATTCTATTAAAGGTAAAGGTAAAGGGACCCCTGACCATTAGATCCAGTCGTGACCGACTCTGAGGTTGCAGCGCTCATCTTGTTTTATTGGCTGAGGGAGCCAGTGTACAGCTTCCGGGTCATGTGGCCAGCATAACTAAGCCGCTTCTGGTGAACCAGAGCAGCGCACGGAAATGCCATTTACCTTCCCGTCAGAGCGGTACCTATTTATCTACTTGCACTTTGATGTGCTTTCGAACTGCTAGGTTGGCAGGAGCTGGGACCAAGCAATGGGAGCTCACCGCGTCACGGGGATTCGAACCGCCGACCTTCTGATCGGCAAGTCCTAGGCTCTGTGGTTTAACCCACAGCGCCACCCGCGTCCATTGTATTTTATTACTTCATTCTTATTATACTGCATTGGTTTAAAATACTGTTTGTTTATAAATGGCACTTTTGTAAGAAATATAGCAAGGCAGCGTACAGCTTAAAGACCCAACACTGTAATACCCACAGCAGTTAAAACAGGTGTTGGGAAACCTTGCCACTCCAGATGTAGCTGAGCTACAGTACCGCTTCCCTGGCCACTAGCAATGTTTGGTGGTGCTGATGAGAGCTGTAGTTTATTCACTTTGATTTTATTTGTTTGATTGCTGTTAGCAGCCCTGGAGGAAATAATAATAATGTGATGGAAAAGCCATTTATAGCCTCCACTCCAGCTGAAGATTTCAAGAACAATACACAAGATTATGCTAAAATATCACATATTAACAATGCACGAAACTAGTTCAGCTGCTTCCTTAATTAGCAGTGGTGGTTTTTTGAAGGCTCGTGGCCTGCTAGATAGCAAAAGTTTCGATTTTTTTCATTTGGCAGCAAATATGGATCTGTCTGATTTTGGAGGAAACTTATGCTCCTTCACATGCCTGGAAAACATTGGGCTGTTCCTCTAACAATTAACTTATACATTTGTTAAATGTGTAGATTATTACACATAATTCCATGCCGCCGCCCCCATTCTTTCCCTCTAAGATGAGATTTTTTTCCCAGCTGCATTGCACTATCTTGGATGCAAAGAAGTCATGAGATGACCAGAACCTGGCTCGACACATATTCTATTATTTGACTAAACAGGGGCACCCGACATTTTAAAAATCCTCACAGCTGGTGGGCTCCTTCGAAAACAAAAGCATCACTTCAATGGGAATTCATCTCCTCCCCTCCCCGCCAGCTAATCATTTTGTCAGCAATGTTTTCTCTCCGCCTCGTGCCAGCATGCATGGCAGGGGCAAGATAGTGCCACCATCAGCTGCAGAGTGGCTTGCACAGTAACTGCTTTGTGGAGTGAACAATGACTCCAGGCTGCTACCTGCCCTCTCTCTCTGCCTTGCTCTGTGGGAGAGAGATGTCAGCCACAGCCAACATACTTAACATGACTTAAGCCACGTAGTTTGATGCAGATAGTGATTAGGCATCTTGATCTAAGAGACAGGGAAACTGGCAAAGCAGTAGACTTTGCAGGATCCGCTTTTGTTCATCACCAAACATGTTTGTGTTTTGGAGTTGCCAGGAATTCACAGTTAAAGGCTTCCATAAACAGTGTAACATCAGGATATCTTAAGGACAATCATACACAGTCCATAGTTTGGTGTGTGCCGCGCATGCGAGAAAGCAGAACACAGATGGTGGCACCTAGACTATAGGGACAACTTCTGGGGGAGGCTCATTTGCAGCCTGCCCCAAAGGATTTTAGACAGGAAATTTTAGACCCTACTACTAGGGATGGAAGGATCTGTCAATTTCAGGTGTTGTTGTTTTATTTCAGTTCTCTCAGTTTCAGCTTCCCCCCGTCTTAAATCCAGTTCCCAACGCTTATGCAGCAATCTGCATTTTTTTTAAATCCTAGTGAAAGTTTGCTAGCATTTTAGTGTGAATCCCTCCTAAGAAACGTATCTTCGTATGCGGTTTTGACTAATATACCCATTTCTGCAAGAAACTTCTCCTAATTAATACAATGCATTTGAGAATTTGCTTTTCATGCACACTTTCCCCATATACTCACATTTTTTTTAAAAAAACGCTGGTTGATACAGGGCACTGCAGCACAACATTTGGATAAGCGTGAATTTTGAACAATGGCTGCTTTTCAGTTCTCATATAGGTTTGGAAAGTGCAAATTTGATAAGATACACCTTTCAATGGGAACTGAATCAAATTGCTCCCCCATCCCTAGCTGCTACTTTGAAAAACATTTTTGGACAGCAGTCAGCCAGCCATTGTTCCATGCTGCCATTCAGGCCTCTGTTGCTGTTCATGAGGGCCATTCTAGAACAGCCTTCCCCAACAGAGTGGCATCCATGTCTTTTTTTTGACTACAACTCTCATCAGCACCAGCCATCATGGCCAATAGTCAAATGTGATAGGAGTGGTAGCCCAAAATTACCTAAAGGACCACAGTTCAGTAAGGCTACTCTGGGGGGGGGGAGAAAGTAGACCCTTGCCAGAGTTTCAGCTTACACAAGAGAAAGTGGTGAGGAGTTGGTGGGAGTGGTGACTCAGCTGCTGGCCAGTTATCATCAGCTTACTGGGGGTTAGTTCAGACTGACAGTTGCCAACCCATAGATCAGGACATCTTCAAAACAGCCATCAAAAGTGCAATATATTTACTTACTTGAACATTCTTCCTCTGTCTCTTCAACCTCACATGGCTCTATCTCATACACTCCAGTCGCCATGACAGTCTCTCTGAAATTTCCAAGGATAAAAGGAAAGATTACTTTAGATGTGAACACACTCTGAAGTACTCATGATAGACTGGGATATAGTTTCACGCCCAGCAAAGAAGGAAAACATTGTCTCTGATGCAGTCCTACAGAACCACTCTGTGCATACCAAACCGGGGGGTGGGGTGTAGGGTTATTTCACAGATATGTTTGCACAGGAGCTAAACGGTCTTTCCCTCACTTTTCAATAACACCCCATTCTCCAGCCAAAAACAACAAACAGCCTTGCTTCTCAAGAGGACATGTACCACTTTTCAGGAAGTTGGGATCAACGTTCGCATTAAGAGGGGGAAGAAACAGTAAATGCTTAAAATGTTTAATTTTTTTTCTTTCCCGTGGGCAAAAGAATCCCACAGATCAGACTCTACAGCTTTTTTTTAGACTTAAAAAAACCCCACCTCTGTGCCAAGGGGTTAAAGGATCTACATAACGGAGAATATGAGCTATCACTCAATAAATGGAAATACAGCAGCAACAGCAGAAAACAGCAGATGTGAAGACAGAGCATGAGAATCAACAATATGCAGATAAGCAGCCAGGTCATTTAGAAATAAATTTAAAAGAAACAGGACTGTGTCTAACCCCCCTCAGAGCAGGGACTAAAATAGGAACTTATCCTTGCTGTCCACATCTGATTTGGCTGCATATTTAGAAGTATTTGTTTTCCCATTGTTGTGACACATATTCTGTTTCTGCACAAAAATTTATTGGTCTGTGACTGTATAATAAACAATTCTTCTTCTTCAAAGTGGAGAGGTTTCTGGCTAACCTAACTACTGGGTTCATTAAAGGACTAGGCTCAAGTCCCACCAGATGATAGCAGTGGAAACTGGGGGCAGATCTGATCCAATGGCGCGGGGGAATGCAAAGATAGATAAAGCCACAGAGCTCCCTCATGTAACTATCTTTCTAAACTGATGTGCTTTATTATAGGGTCCCTCAGTTCAGAGCTGCAAAAATCCCAGTTCTGCAGTGCAACCACCGGACTGCCCTTCCATCATGCCCACATACCAGAGAAGTCAGAAGGGTTGCATACTTGCTTAGCTTGCAAAACATTCTCCTCCGCAACCCACCATCTGCTTCCTCTCTTGCATTTCTATGCAGTTGACGGCAGAGGTCCAGACAGGCTTCAGCCCTGATAACAAGGTTCAGTACTGCATCCTGGGCAGCCCCTGCCTTTTCCACATTCTCCTGAATTCTGCCTGGTATCACTGGCGAGCTACCAAGTGTGCTTGTGGATCCTAATTTCATTCCAGGAATGGAGAATCTTTAAATGTTGTGGGCATGCTCATGTAAGGAAGTAAAGGGGGGGAGGGTGTGCCTTCTTTTAAGATGGTACCTAGCAGTTACAGTTTTTGAGTTGCAGCCAACTAAGTTTTACTTGAAATTAATGGGCCTAAGTCGTGCCCGTCAATAGGTCTACAATAAGGAGGACAAACACTTGATACAACCCTTTATATAAGTATTGTATTAAAAATAATGAACTTTTTTGAAATGTGCTGACTGATAATCCAGTTAATCTTTTAATCAGTTAAAAGAAGGTTTTAGAATCAATTAATATAACCAATTAATCAATTACAGGTTGCAAACCATGTATACACTTTCAAGCATATATTTACAATCAAAGGGCCAGAAAGTTGCTTGAAAACTTTTATGTATGTAAAGAGGACAGCTGAAGAAGTTCAATTCTGCACTTATTCTGACATCCTAGACAGGAGTCAGAGATTCTGTCCCCCCAGATATTGCTGGACTCCAAGCCCCATCAACCGTGGCCATTGGCCATTTTACCTGGGACTGATGGGAGTTGTAGTCCAAAACATCTGGTGGCACACAGCTTCCCCAGTGTCCTGCTCCCCTGCCCCACGTTCTCATGTAACTAAAGAATACACACATTCCAAGCTATAGGTCACATTCAGAGCTGAGGTAGGTCTAAGATGCCAAGCTCTCTCTTAAGCATCACAAATATAATAAGATAATAATAGCATTAAGAAAGTCAAGTTTAGCAGCCAAGTGACATTCAATATTAATGAAAGCATTCTGTTAGGATCATTAAAAGGTCATGTTGGCTTTTTTGCAAATATCAATGGACATCACACTAAAATGAGCTCTCTGGGTGCACCACAAAGGCCCATACAATTCATATAAAAAGGAATTTGATTAAATACAATTACACATTAATGTATTAGGAGGAGGAGGAGGAGGAGGAGGAGGAGGAATAGTAGTAAGTACATCTGTATGGAGAAGTGTGTGTGATTTTCCCGCCATCCACATTGAACAGGCTTTACTGCAGTGCCTTTTATTGCTGGAGAGAGTTTTGTGTGTGTGTTCATGCGCAAGTAAAACAAAATCTAATAGAAAACAGCTGGTTTCGTGGGTTTCCCCCTTTAAAAAAACGTAACAGGAGGAAATGCTTTTCATACAATTACACAGGCTTAGCTGGGGAAGCCAAAGGGAATGAAAGACATGGCAAGTCTCTTTGGTGAAAGAAACGAAAATAAATGGTTTGGTACGTAGCAGTCAAGCCAAGGGAACAAACGCCTCTTTGAGCCACAGATCTTGAATTTCATGCTGCCTCGATTTCTCCCCACCTATACGGCACCGCCTCTGTAATAGAAATCACCTGACACAGGCATTCACGGCAAGCCAAATGTCATAAACGAATACACATCCTAAAGAGACGCAGTTGGCTCCTGTCACTTGGTCACTCTGAAATTCTGGTGAGTTCACACAATCTGGGCACCGTGGGTAATCCAGAATGCTCAATGTGGCTGGGGATGAAGGAGCATCTCCACTAGCTATTCCACATGCACAGGGGCATCTCCCAGTCAGAAGAAACCTGTTCTGTCTCCAGAAGGAATCCAGTATCTGGGCAGGGAGGAGAAAGAAGGCCCATTGCCTTATACCTTCCCTGCTGTGGCACATCCACCCTCCGAACTAGGGTTGTATTAAGATGTGCTTGTTTTTTAAAGGATGGGTCCTTCAATTATAACCAGTGGATATGTCTATAACAGCCTCTATTTATTTTTGATTTCGCTGTTCCTGTTCTTCTCCCTGAAGAAGTGCTACACTATTTTAAGAGGAGATTTTGCTACTTCATAAAATACTCCTTTTTTAAAACAGTATTTTGAGGTTCTTCTTGATTCTTCGTTGAGAAGTGGGTCCCATGCACCAAACATCCAGTTCCACCACCCAAGATTTTTTTTTTAATGCACCACAGCTGGGGAAGGATCCTAAGTCTATGGTACAGTTTCTGCTTTTACATGCAGGAGATTCCTGGTTCAATCCCCAGTATCTCCAGGTTGGGCTGGGAAAGACCCCCCCACCCACCCAAAATCCTAGAGAGCCGCAGCTAGTCAGTACAGACAATACTCAGGTAGAGGGACCAGTGCTCTGACTCTGTATAAGGTAATTATCTATGTTCCTGGGGCTTTATTGCCCTGTTGGTTCAGGAACTTACCTGAGACACTCCACCCACCCATTGCTCCCCTGTACAAAAACCACATTGGAGTTTCTTTCTTTAAAAAAAAGAAAAGAAACTGAAAATCAGCACAGTTCTGCCCCCTCTCCCAACAGATTTTCTCTCCCACCTCTACCCATTACAAGGAAGTTATGGTATTGTATTTCTGGTGTTAGGTCAGAGCTTAAGTCTAAAAATGCTTGGTGTTTTTTCTTTTCTTTTCAAAATACCAGGAAAGACTCTGAGGTTCTAAGAAAAAGAGTCAATTATGCTTCAATTGGTAGGTTAAAAAAAAACAAAAAACAACCAGCTCCAATGGGGAACAGGAGGCAGTTTAGACAAAATTGAATTCCCCTTCCATTGCTTGCTGGCAGACTTGATTCCAAGTGTATTCAATGCAGATGTTTCATGGTCAGGGAATTCCAATATGGAAGGGTACACTTTTGGCACGCATTCCTGGAGGGACACTTGCCATAAACATTTAATCTCCAAGCCAAAACAAAAACTAATTTCCCCCACCCCTGGGGAAAAAAACCCCCAGCTCCCCATCCTTGAGCCTCTAGATTGTAAATGAAAGGCAGGCATTGTGGTTTCACTTCTTGCATTGCCAACAAGCTCTCTTCAGTCAACTTACCAGGGGTTGGGGGGGCGGGAATCCAGTTGCAAAGTAAGCTGCACACATATTCATGGGAGAGGGAGGCATTTAGTGCCTGCTTATGCGCTGCTTTTAATAGCCACTCCTTACCCCTGGGAGGATGCATAGGAAGATACCTCAAGCCAACTTTCCTCAACCTGGTAATCACCACATTTTTTTTTACCTCAATACCCATCTGCCACAGCCAATGGTCAGGAACAATGAGAGTTGTCATTCAGCGACATCTGGAAAGCCCCAGGTTGAGGAAGGCCATACTGAGCTATAACCACTGGTCCACAACAGTAGCCCAGTGTGATCTACTCTGACTGGTAGTGGCTCGCCAAGTGAAGGCTTTCCTGAGATCTGCTACCCAAACCAGGTAACTGGGGATGTCAGGAATTGAACAGGAGAGCTTCTACATCAAGCCAATGGGCCACACCTCCTTTCCCTCGTGTTTGCTTAGACCATCCAAAGACAGTACAGTGGTACCTTGGTTCTCAAACTTAATCCGTTCTGGTAAGGTAAAGGTAAAGGGACCCCTGACCATTAGGTTCAGTCGCGGACGACTCTGGGTGTTAAGTTGTGGGCGAACATGTCCGAAGACACAGAGATTCTTTAAACAGCTCTTCTTTATTCAGATGCCAGAACAGAACTTAGACTGAGGAGCTCAGTCAGCCTGCTTATATAGAACTCCAGAACAATGCAACTGTTGCCATTTTCTAAAACTATCCAATCACTGAACGTCACTTTTCGATCCTTCATTTGCATACAAAACTATCCAATCACTGAACGTCACTTTTCGATCCTTCATTTGCATACAAAACTATCCAATCACTGAACGTCACTTTTCGATCCTTCATTTGCATACAAAACTATCCAATCACTGAACGTCACTTTTCGATCCTTCATTTGCATACAAAACTATCCAATCACTGAACGTCACTTTTCGATCCTTCATTTGCATACAAAACTATCCAATCACTGAACGTCACTTTTCGATCCTTCATTTGCATAACTATCTACAGTATCCCCCTGCTGGCCCAGGGTGAGAACTTCAGTACATAACACTGGGGTTGCGGCGCTCATCTCGCTTTATTGGCCGAGGGAGCCGGCGTACAGCTTCCAGGTCATGTGGCCAGCATGACTACGCCACTTCTGGCAAACCAGAGCGGCGCATGGAAACGCCGTTTACCTTCCCGCCGGAGCGGTACCTATTTATCTGCTTGCACTTTGACGTGCTTTTGAACTGCTAGGTTGGCAGGAGCCGGGACCGAGCAACAGGAGCTCACCCCATCACGGGGATTCGAACCGCCGACCTTCTGATCAGCAAGTCCTAGGCTCTGTGGTTTAACCCACAGTGCCACCCGCGTCCCATCCATTCTGGTAGTCCATTTCAAAAACAAAGCATTCCAAAACCAAGGCACCCTTTCCCATGGAAAGTAATGCAAAACAGATTAATCCATTCCAGACTTTTAAAAACAACCCCTAAAACAGCAATTTAACATGAATTTTACTATCTAACGAGACCACTGATCCATAAAATAAAAGCAATAATCAATATACTGTACTATAAAATAAATAAGACAGTATTGTAGATGATAAAAATTAACAGAAAAAGTCTCAAAAACAAAAATGCAAAATAAATAGCAAAAACAAAAGCATCAAACTTATTCCATTCCGGAAGACTGTTTGACTTCTGAAATGTTCGAAAACCAAGGCACAGCTTCTGATTGGTGCAGGCGGCCCCCCCCCCACACACCACTCCAAAGAGCAGACAACCGTATCAGATGTTTGGCTTCCAAAAAAACATTTGAATACCGAACATTTCCGGGTTTTCAGCGTTTGGGAACCAAGGTACGAATGTGTTGCCTGCCTTTCTTGTCTGGAAAAAAAGTACTATGTTCTGCAGGATAACACAGGACAGTAATACTGTATTTACTTACTTATTTACTTTAAATGTTTTGATATCACTACTGATTTTTTTAAAATAAAATAAAATACAGTGCCATAGAATTAAAACTGTATTAAAAAGTTAGAACCAGATATCAGCTGTTACAGAGAGACCTATTCTTAATTGCCAGCATAAGCCTGACTGAATAGAAAAGTTTTCAGCTGCGTTTGAAATCTGGCACAGAAGGCGCCCAATGAATCTCTATTGGCAGAGAGATTTGACAATAATGGGCCCATGACACTAAAGGATCAGTTTCTTGTTCTTGTCAAATGAGCCTCACCAGCTTGGGGAATGACCAACAACACTCTTGCCATTGATCTCAGTGACTGAACTGGGATTATACTTATTTATTTATTATCCACCTTTCGCACCCAAAGTCCCAGGGCAGGTTACAAAATTAAAACACATCATTCAAAAAAGTAGCTTAAAACAACATACAATCATAAAAATAAGGTGGGTCCTAAGAATGTACACCTCAAGTATCAAAAGCTAGGATACAGAGATTTGTCTTCAGCATCCTGCAGAAGCTGTATAATGAAGGTGTCAGATGTGGAGGAAGTTCCACAACTTAGGGGCCACCACAGAGAATGCCCACCTACCTGTCACCACAAGGTTGGCAGTCCAGCTCCCATCCACCCCCCTGACCCAGACACACAACATCCATGACCTACCTTAGGAACCCAGACAAGCAGCAGAGGACTGTGTCAGGGGAACATCCACAAGGAGAAATTTACAAAAATAAGAAATGGATGTGACTCACACTCCAGCTCTCACCTGGTACAAAAAAACTCCACATTCCCTTCTGCCTCACACCTGGGAAGGGCCACAGTTCTGTGCACTCCAGGAATATGAAACCACTTCCACTAGTCCAGACCACATCCAGCCTCTCACCCAAGAAATGACCTACAGCTGTGTTTCCCAAATTTGGGTCTCCAGCTGTTTTGCGACTACAACTCCCATCAGTCCTAGCTAGCAGGTCCAGTAGCCATGGATGATGAGAACTGTAGTACAAAAACAGCAGGAGACCTAAGTTTGGGAAACCCTGGTCTAGAGGAAAACATAAACCTTCCAGAGAAAGGGACGCCACACACAAAACCATGCCCAATGAAACAATAAAGTGGGTGGCCCAAAGAGGCAACTCCTTTTCAGGTGGGCTGATTTGGGGAGAGTCCTGAACAGCTGCAGCTAATCAAACTAACGGTCTGTGGGCTCAGTAGGGTCTAGCCCTATTAATAATAATAATAATAATAATAATAATAATAATAATAATAATTTATACCCCGCCCTCTCCAGCCAAGGCCGGGCTCAGGACAGCTAACAAGCAATAATAAAACCAAGTTGAATGAATACAACTTAAAAACAAGATTAAAATACAACAATTAAAATATTGAAACATTAAAATATTAAAATGTAGCCTCATGGCAGGAGGAGAAAGGAAAAGAAAAAAGAAAGAGGGAGGGAATCAAATTGGCTCCAAGCCAAAGGCCAGGCGGAACAACTCTGTCTTACAGGCCCTGCGGAAAGAAATCAGATCCTGCAGGGCCCTGGTCTCCACCAGGCCGGAGCAAGTGCTGAAAAGGCCCTGGCTCTGGTTGAAGCTAATCTAACTTCCTTTGGGCCCGGGACCTCTAGGGTGTTGCTATTTATGGACCTTGAGGCACTCCATGGGGCATGCCGGGAGAGGTGGTCCCGTAGGTACGATGGTCCTAGGCCGTGAAGGGCTTTAAACCTTAAATCTGACCCTATAATCCACCGGGAGTCGGTGCAGGTGGAAAAGCACTGGGTGAATATGCTCCCATGGCAGAGACCCTGTGAGGAGCCTCGCTGCAGCATTCTGCACCCGCTGGAGTTTCTGGGACAGCTTCAAGGGCAGCCCCGCATAGAGAGAATTACAGTAGTCAAGCCTGGAGATGACCGTCGCATGGATCACTGTGGCCAGGGCGGGGCGGGAAAAATAAGGGACCAACTGCGAAGGTGGAAAAATGTCGCCTTGGCTGTTGCTGTAACCTACGCCTCCATGGAAAGGGAGGCGTCAAGGATTACACCCAAACTCTTAACGGAAGGCAATGGCACTAATTGGGCCCCTGCAAGAGAAGGGAGTTGGTCCCTCATCCCCATGCCATCCCGACCCTATTGAAAATAAACTCCAACCTTTTTTGGAAATGTAACAAAGAACCTGGAACGATAATTCGTATGTTTTGGGGTTTCAAGGAAATAAAGAAGTTTTGGGGAATAATACATGAGGAACTTAAGAAAATGCTAAAAAAAAAACCTTGCTAAAAAATCCTGAAGCTTATCTGTTAAGGTTGGTGGGCAAAGAAATACCACATATGAAAAAAAACGATTTTTTTATATGCAAGAAGAAGCTGCCAGGGTAGTGATTGCCACTAAATGGAAATCTCAGGACACAATAACAAAAGAAGAGTAGATTTGCAAATTAAGTGAGTACCGTATATAGAATTGGCAAAAATTAACTTCAGTTATAAGATACCAATCAAATCAAAAGTTAAGAATGGAGTAGAAGTATTTTGAAGATTATATGTCAAAATATTGTTCTAAAAATGACATGCTAATAGGCTTAGAATAAAAAAAAAGCAATAACAAAACCAATAAAGAAAGAAGGAAAAATCAGAATTTAACAAAAATAATTTATTATAGAATGCAAAGAAAAAAGGTAGAAAGAAATATAAAGAAGTCGAATTGCTGTGGAGGGAAATAGAGGGTGGGTGGTGGCTTTTATAATTAACTGTATAATTAAGTAGCTGTTGTAATTTAGATATTATATTTTATATGAGGGAATCATTGGGAATTTTGGTTATTATGTATATATGTTAAGTTTCAATAAATGTCTTTGAACATGAAAAAGAAAAAGAAAATAAACTCCCACCGACAAAAGCCTCTCACGGGCAGCTGCTTTTTACAAGGTAGATAGGTGGCCTGATGTTAACCAGTTCTTCTTCTTCTTATTTTTATTATTATTATTATTACAAACTTTACTGAAATGTTTTGAAACAATTACCAAGCATAAAGTGTTGTCTTCTAGAACGAGTACATGTGCAGATGTTAAGCCTTGCATGCAGTTGTGCACATGGCATCAAAACAGACGGAAAACAGATTAAGCTCACACCCACAGGGTATACTATCTAGAGCACTAAGATAATTTCTCTGTACTGGCTGGTCTGAGATGTAAGGGGGAGTTACTGCACTATTGTTAATAAAGCATATATTTGAGTTCCATTGCCTCTCCCCACGCTGCCTCTTCCAGCCAGCTGCCTTCTCTCCCTCCTTCCTTCCTTCTGCTGCAGGATATCTGTTTATGTTTTGTACCATATTAATGTAATATTCTTATAAGTTAGCTCTGTATTTGTGTAATATTTGTCGCTTAAGTGGTCTGTTCTTGCCTAAAGTTTTCTGCACATTGCACAGAGAGAGTGTCTGTGTTCTAGAAATGGTGTAAAGAAATAAATAAAGTAAGTATCAATAGTCTGATCACCACATTGTGCACCAGCTGGACCTCCCGAATGAGGCCCAAGGGCAGCCCTACATATACAGTGCATTGCAGCAATCTAGCCTTGAGGTTCCCAATCCATAAACTCCAATATAATAATGATCACCTCCATATTTGATAACTGATGCAACAAAAATTATGTGACTGGATTTCCCTGACCATACTGCGGTCTATGAAGGTCTTCTTATGTTCTCACTTTGCACTAGCAATAGGACGGCGCTGCCGGTTTGAGATAAGGGTGAAAGGATTGAGGCACAGGAGAGGAGAACTAAATATAATTTACGGCACATTTTTAGGGGTGTCCAATCTCAAGTCTGCCCAAAGGTTTGCATGCCAAATATTTTGTGTAGCTTCTGACATGCTAGAATATAATAAGAAGCTGTGGTTCTATATTTTGACATAAAATCTTCGAAATACTTCCACTCCATTCTTAACTTTTGATTTGATTGATATCTTATAATTGAAGTTAATTTTGCCCATTCTCTATACTCACTTAATTTACAAATCCACTCTTCCTTTGTTGGCGTGTCCTGGGATTTCCATTTTGTGGCAATCACTACCCTGGCAGCTGTTCTTGCATATTAAAAAAAAATTTTTTTCATATGTACTATGTCTTTGCCAACCAACCCTAACAGATAAGCTTCGTGATTTTTTATCAAGGTTTTTTTTTAGCATTTTCTTAAGTTCCTCCTGGATTATTCCCCAAAACTTCTTTATTTCCTTGCAACCCCAACACATATGAATTATTAGTCCAGGTTCTTTGTTACATTTCCAACAAACGTTGGATTTTAATTTATAAATTTTGGCGAGTTTAACTGGTGTCAAATACCACCTGTAAAACATTTTAACAAAATTTTCTTTATCATATAGCAGGCGGTAAAGCGAATATCCTCACGCCAGAGTTTCTCCCACTGTTCTAAATATAAAGCGTGGTCGATATCTTGTGCCCATTTGACCCTTGTTTCTTTTACCTCTTCATCCATCAAATCATAGTCCAATAACAGAGTGTAAATTTTCGATAACAATTTCCTATTGTTTTGTAATGTAAATGGTGCTAAATAGCGATTGTTCAAAATATTGTCAAAATATTGTTCTAAAAATGACATGCTAATAGGCTTAGAATAAAAAAATGTAAGCAATAACAAAACCAATAAAGAAAAGGAAAAATCGGAATTTAACAAAAATAATTTATTACAGAATGCAAGGGGGGAAAGGTAGAAAGAAATATAAAGAAGTTGAATTGCTGTGGAGGGAAGTAGAGGGTGAGTGCTGCATTTTATAATTAAGTGCATAATTATGCAGCTGTTGTAATTTAGATATTATATTTTATGTGAGGGAATCATTGGGAATTTTGGCTATTATGTATATAAGTTAAGTTTCAATAAAGATCGTTTTTGGGTGGAAGAACACCCCCCCCCCCAAAAAAAGAAGAATCTGTGGTTCTAGAACCAACTTGCCAAATATCCTATTTTAACAGTGGTCAGCAAGAAGTCTATGGAAAGCACACAAGCAGGACGTGAGTGCAATAGAACTCTCCCCTCACCATGGTTTTCAGAACTTGGTACTGTACTCTAGTCTCTGCCACTGGAGGCAGAACATAGTCCTCGGGGTTAGCAGTCATTGATAACCTACTTCTCTAAGAAACAGCAAACCTTGACAATCAAAATTACACTACTTTTGCAAACAACACGGATTTAATTTGCACTCTGAGCTCCAGAAAGGCAGACGATATGGGGAAAGAAAAGAGAGAGAGAAAGAAATAAGTACAGCAGAGTTTTTTGTTGGCATAGGCAAAGTTCAGAGTTATACAGCACCCCTTGCCATGCAGAAGGAAGATGTTCTGTGAAATGAGTACAATACAACCCTAAAGAGTGTGAGAGACTGTGTGTCCATGCACACACACACTACAACACCAGAGTGGTCAAATTAAAAGTTTCATCTTACCTATTTCGGCATTCTGATTGAGATCTCACAGACCAGCGACCACACCTAGGGATGTGGGAGGGGCGCAGATATTCAGTTTGGATTGCAATTTAATGTGAATCAGATTCACACTTACCAAAACAATACACAAACCAAATTTTTATTTTTATTTTATTATTATTATTATTATTATTATTATTATTATTATTATTAAAATAATTTTCTTATTTGTACCCCACCCATCTGACTGGCTTGCCCCGGCCACTCTGGGCAGCTTCCAACAAATATAAAAGCCCAATAAAACATCAAACATAAAAAACCTCCCTGTACAGGGCTGTCTTCAGGGGTCTTCCAAAAGTTGTATAGTTATTTACAACACAACTATCCTTTAAATTTTTGATTTCTCTGAATTTTGTGATGTAGTTTTCCAACAAACAACAAACAAACAAAAACCCAATTTGTGCAATAATGTGTATATTAGGGAAAGTGTGCATACAAAAGCATATATTAATGATAACGCACACACAAATGCATTTATGTTAGGGGAAATTGCTTTGCAAAGATGTGTTACATTAGGGAAAACTGCATACAAAAACGTATATATTAAAAGCAATGCTCGTGAAAACACTGACAAATTTTCATGAGGACTACTGAAGTGGAAATGCGACAAACTGAATTTAATATGGGGAAAATGATAAAGTATGGGAAACTGAAATTGGCAGATTCACCCATTCCTAATTACAACTAGGTTTCCCAGGTCACAACCAAGAGATGGGCTGCATTCAGATGCCATAATCAACCATATTTATTGCCATGGTTTAGAGCAGTGATGGCGAACCTTTTAGAGACCAAGTGCCCAAACTGCAACCCAAAACCCACTTATCGCAAAGTGCCAACACGGCAATTTAACCTGTGTCTCTCATTTTTTCTGTGCGTTTCACGTTTCTTCTTTATGACTGCTGCTGTATTAAAAAATGCTTCCTAAAAGTTATTGCATTACATTCTTCATTAAATTATCTTTCCATTGATATATAATTTTATAGTATAATTCAGTGCTTTTTTTCTAAAAAAAATAAAAGGGGTACTGTCATTTTGACTCAAGAAAATTGCCACCGGGGGAAAATAAATACAGTTCAAATTGGGGGAAATAAATACAGTGAATTTCTTCGCCCATTAAATTCACAAAATGTTTGGGAGTATGCATCCCCCTGCGTCCCCACAGAAAAAAAAGCACTGGTATTACTCCAAAACAAAGTGGTGTTATGAACCATCAAACCTCGGAAATACATTTTTTCCAGAAGGTTCCACAATTTTGGCCACTATTGTACACTGGAGGGCTGTACTAAGAGCCACCATCTCCCAATTTTTAATATGAGATAGTAATGATTATCTGCGTGCGCACATACAAATAAATATTTTTTTAAAAAAATAAACCCAGACAGATGTGCGGGGTATAAATAATATATATTATTATTATTATATTTTGCCATTTCTTTGGCTGTCGTTTGATCGCAGCCTCCACGGAATGGATTTCTCTGTTGGCTTCCGCAGGAAAGCACAGCGAACTTGTAAACCCAGCAGACCCGTCTTAGGTTGCCGTGTTTATATGCTTACTGACTTGGGAGTTAAGCCCTGCTGAACTCAGGGTGGCTTACTCCCAAGTAAAGATGTAAAATTTATGGAAATTTTGAAGCCATGAGGGGGAAAAAAGGTTTTTGCCCTGTTTTTCCCCGGGGGGAAATGGAAAAATTGGAAAAATTGAAAAAAACGTTCAGGGTGGAGTAGTTTTACAAATTGCGTGAAACAGAGTGTAGATAAAAGTATTATGCTTGCAATAAAACGGGTAGCCACCTCCTTTCCCTCAAAAGCAACAAAAAAAGCAAGAAACCATAAACATAAAAAATAATCAGATTTGCCCCTTAGCACCAACAGCACATAAAGTTAAGGTCCGCCTCAATATTTAAGCTCCATAGAAAGTCTACCCTTTGAGCAGTGCTTTTTAAAAAAACAAAACCAGAAGACACAACATATACATGCGGTTCATTCTATCTCATTTTCTGAACTACAGTGGTACCTCGGGTTAAATACTAAATTCGTTCCAGAGGTCCGTTCTTAACCTGAAACTGTTCTTAACCAGAAGCACCACTTTAGCTAATGGGGCCTCCTGCTGCTGCCGCGCTGCCGGAGCACGATTTCTGTTCTCATCCTGAAGCAAAGTTCTTAACCCGAGGTACTATTTCTGGGTTTGCAGAGTTTGTAACCTGAAGCATATGTAACCCGAGGTACCACTGTAATGCTATCATTTTCCATTTCTTCATGCTCTTCCTCTTTCTTATTTTTCTCATGGAGTTTTAAAAAACTGCTTTGGGGGAAAACGTGGGTGGGGTGGGATGGATACCTGCCCCCCCCCAATTTTACCAATTTCCCCCCCAGGCCTTTCCATCTCTACTTGAGGACAGTCGGGGCAAAGCATAAGGCAAATTTTCTGCATGCCAGGCCCAGAAGTAACCAACATCCAGTTACTGAATAGTATGTTGCACTAAGGCTCAAACTCTGTTTGAATGGAAAAGGAGTGAGAGAGTGTGTGTGTGTGTGTGTGTGTGTGTGTGTGTGTGTGTTTTGTTTTTTTTTAATTGAATTTGTTATTATATATTATACATCGCATGATGGTAAGAGAGCTTTCTAAACAGTTTACAGAAATATACAACAGAATATTAAAATGATTGATAAAACAGTTAAAAGCAGGTATTTAAGAGTATTCAAAAGATGATTAAAGTCAGCAGTGGTTAAAAGGAAGTACCGTAAATCGCATGCAGCTTCTACGTGTCCAGGTAGGCTGGCCCTAACCAAAATGTTTTGAGCAGTTGCCAGAAAAGGTACAGTGAGGAAGACACAAGATCTACCCACACTGGAGGAATGGCAGATGAAAATGATGGACTATATGGAACTGGCGGAAATGACTGGTAGAATCCGTGACCAGGGAGAAGAGTCGGTGAAAGAAGATTGGAAGAAATTTAAAGACTACTTACAGAAATATTGTAAAATTAATGAATGTTAGAATGATGACGGATTGAAGTTAAGCGGTTTCTAGCAGTAATGGTTAAAAGAATTGGAAAAATTGGTTTTTAATAGGTAAAAATTTAATGTCATAATACATTAAGATTAAAGATCAGGATTAAAAAGGAGGGAAAGGAATTGCTGGACTAACAAACTGAATTGGAATACAAAAGAGGGAGGTATGAGGAGGTCCGGGAAACAAGTAAACGTAAAAGAAGTGATGAAAAGATGGAATTGTTTTTAACTGTTTTTTCTTTTTTGTACTTTGTATTTTGTATTTTTCTTTTTATTGTTAATTTTCTTATTAATGTGATCTCTTTTTTTGAAATTTTAATAAATATCATTTAAAAAAAAAAGGTACAGTGAGAGCACCTGCCTGGTGTCAATCGGCAGGCAGCTCCAAAGTGGGGGTGCTGGAAGACCTGGAAAGAAACCGGGGAAATTGGGGGGGACCAGGCACAAAACCCTGGTTTCTCTCCTCCCCCAAATTTTCCTGCTTGTTTTTTTTCTTCCAGGCCTTCCCATCTCTACTCCCAAGTAGGAAAAACAGACTGGTGGGAGGCCCTGGCGCATTAAAAGTCAATGCCTGCTCAGCCCCTCGCTCACTTGCCAGACCCTGGTGCCCCAGGCTTTGGACAGCACGCAAGAGCCCTCCTCTCCTCTTCCCCCACCCCCGGCTGGGAAGCTACTGCCCTGGGGCAACAGCGCGTGTGCCCACAGAGAGGGCTCTGAGTGCCCTCTCTGGCACACATGCCATAGGTTTGCCACCACTGGTTAGGAGTGACCAGAAGGTGTCTATGTGAGCCTTGCATGTCCCCTTCTTTCATTATCCTCCTTTAGCACACCTGAAAAGGAAGACATCAGAAGCTTCCATTACCATTTCTGATCAGCTGCAATTTAGTGTTGCATACAGACTTGACAAACTGTAGTTCACCTTAAGCATGCACACTGCCTTGCCCCTGTGATTGAGGTGGCTGGGGCCATGTGACGTCAGCATATTGTGTGTGCACACTGAGGGGCATGCGCACATGACATAAGTGTGTCCCACGGCATGCTCGCACCACATGCACACACTGTGGGGCAAGTCACTTGCATGCGCCACAGGGTTTGCTGATGTGTTGTGTGCACACCCCACAGCTTGCACGTGTGACACCCTGTGGCATGTGCACATGACCGTCAGGGAATTTTGAGGGGGCCCGGGCCCCTCCTTGAAATTTTTGGGGGGTCTCTGCCACCCCAATGGCGCAACTAACCTTAACTATGGTTTGCTGAAAAAAGCCAGCTTCATAACCCATGGTTTGAAAGGAGTGAAGGTTTGCTAACCTCTCACAGCTGTGCAGGCCAACCACCTGTCCATCAAACTCCGTTCCACAGTGCTTCCCATGTACCCAACAGCCAACTGGAGTTGGACATTTGGGCACCACAGCAAAAGGCACTTTGCAGGCCCTCTGCTCATCAATGCACCATGTATAGGACTGGCAAAGCTGCTTTCTGTAGAACATAAAGCGACTCCTGCTGGGTCACACCAAAACTCCATGTATCCTATTCTCATAGATGTCCATGGGAAATCCTCAGGCCAGACATGGATGCAACAGCACTCTCCAAACTTGCAATTCCCAGAAGCTTGTACACCTCTTCTGATACTACACTGGAAGTAGTACACATTTTTAAATGACTAATTTCAGTGATTGACAAGTACATATTAAAATTAATGGACCATAACTTAATAAAAAAGAAGAAGAAGAACACAGACATAACCCTGCTTTGTTCCATTCTTCTTCCCTTTTGCAATTTGCTGCATGGATTCCAGCCACAGAGCAATTAATCAAAACAAATAAAAACCTATTTATTTTAAAACTGCAAAGATGTTGCTTTATAATATCACACTCATTTTTAAATTTTAAAAAAACCTTCATTTTTTTCTGCAAGTGGAACACTCTCATCTTCAATTCCATTTAGTGTTTTAAATCCAACTAGTTTCCAAGAACTTGACACACTGACATATTTTCCTGCTTTCAACTTCACAAACAACTTTGCATACCTGAAAGTATCTTCTCTAACTAATAATGCACATTTAAAAAAACACTGTAGAAACAATAAAAGCGCATACACTTTCATACTGGAAATCCCACTTTGCATTGTTAAAAACGTCTACTCAGAAGTAAGTTCACTTCTATTCAATGAGGCTTACTTCCAGGTAACTTAATAGGATTGCAGTGATTCAGTTCATATTTACGCAGAAACATCTCCCACTATCTCACACTACCCCAAGGTATATTTGCAACCTTAATTATCATTATCCATTTCTATATCAAAAGTTGCACTTTCAGGAAAGCCAGGTAATTCATTTGGTGCTTCATCCTTTGCATGTGAAAAAAGAATGGTCTTTCTTAAACACCTAAGACCTGGACATTTACACAGAGCACTTTTTAAAAAAAACAAAACCAACAGATTCTGCCTGCAGGCTTACAACCTAAAACAATTGATAAGCGGTCCCTGTTATTGCATACAATATCATACAATGATTAAAGGAAGAAAAAGAAGTGTTTGCAAAAGTCTCCACGCTGCAAAAGATATATGGGAGAAGGAGGTGGGAAGCGAAGAATAATTAAAGTCACTTACCTTTTAAAGTTCAGACAGCTGTAGAACGCCGCCATGGTATCTCATACACAGTGTGAGGGTATATTTAATAACTCCTCACGTGCATATAACGATGCTTCCTTCTATCAGAACTAAGCACTTAGCATCCGGCTTTCCCTCACACCAACTCGAAAGCTAGCGTGCCTATAGATTACTAGCCAGATAAAGTTCCTGATCTGAGGCCCACGGGCTCTGCTTAACAGGATTCAAAGAAGGTTGCGCTTGTTCCATACATGGGTAAGAATTGTTAACTCTCCCCTTTCCTGTCTCTGTCTCTCTCAAACTCTACAAAACCACAGCATCTCGAGCCCTAAATACCATCTGTTTGTCTCTCCGCCTCTTTCTCTCCCCCCCACCCCGCCCATGGCTAATAAGGGACTCTGCCGACTATTAAAGAAGAACACACACTTGAAACACGCCGTACGAAAAAGGATGGGGCAAACTAGCAAGCTGCAATCCTGTTAAGAAAAAGGAGCGTTTGTTCGCAGAGGGTCCCAAATTCTATCCCAAGCAGCTCCAGGAAGGGGCAGAAAAGGCTCCTGGCTGCATCCCTGGAGAACCACTGCCTGCCAGTGCAAATCCTTAGCTAAATGGACCAACAGCCCTGACTCAGTGCAAGGCAGCTTTCTATATGGCAAAAATGGGGAGCCTGTGGCACCGCCCCCCCCCATGCTTCTGGACTGCAAGTCCCATCAGCATTAGCCAGCAGAACCAATGATCAGGGATAATGGGCATAGCTGTCAACTTTTCCCTTTTCTTGCGAGGAATCCTATTCAGAATAAGGGAATTTCCCTTTAAAAAAGGGAAGCGTTGACACCTATGATGATGGGAGCTGCAACATCTGGAGGGGCGATGGTTGGAGTGCTATTTCAGAAAATAGGCTGTTGTGAAATGTTGGGGCACCCAAAAGAAGCAGAGAAGAAAACAGTGTCAACAGGTTAATAGCAGCAATGGAGAAGTTATTTCCTCTAGCCATTAGGAGTCTAAATTATACAGCAAGGAACATCCTTTCTAGCATGCTGCACAGCCAGTTGTTGAGGAAAGTAATTTCTCTCAGCAATGCAACAGTGTAGCTTATTCCTTCCAAATACTTTTTATTTTTTTAAATGAGATCCCCGTTATATTTTACCGACAAGAGTCGGACCTTGGTAGTCGAACAAAATATGCTCCAGAAGTCCGTTCAACTTCCAGAACGTTCGGAAATCAAAGTGTGGCTTCTGATTGGCTGCAGGAAGCTCCTGCAGCCAATCGGAAGCCACGGAAGCCCCGTCAGATGTTCAGCTTCCAAAAACAGTTCGCAAACCAGAACATTCACTTCTGGGTTTGCAGGGTTCGGGAGCCAAAACGTTCAAGAACTAAGTTATTTGAAAACCAAGGTACAACTGTACCACCAAATTGACAAAAACCTCTATACCAATAAATAAAATAAAAAAACACTGAAAATGAAGTCATTAAAACCAATCTTCAGCAAACTATTTTCCCTCCAGGTGTTTTGGGTAACAACCACCCTGCATCAGCCCCAACAAGCACAGCTGCACTAGCTGGAGCTGATGAGAGTAAATAATACAGAACGTCTGAGGGAACTGGGTTGGTAAATGTTGATTAAAAACAACCAGTGAGGAAAGCACTGATATGGCTACTCTTCCATGCTTGGCAGCACAATCCAATGCATGTTTACTCAGAAGTTAGAGCCTGTGGATCAGGCCCTTCTAGTCCAGGGTCTTGTTCTCACAGTGGCCAACCAGATGCCTGTGGGGAACTGGCAATTGCAAGCAGGATTCAAGCCCAAGAGACCTCTCCCCTCCTGTGGACAGCTGTCAACTTTTCCCTTTTCTTGCTAGGAATCCTGTTCGGAATAAGGGAATTTCCCTTTGAAAAAGGGAAACGTTGACAGCTATGCTCCTGTGGCTTCCTGCCACTGGTATTCAGAAGCACTACTGCCTCCAACTATGAAGGCAAGGCACAGCTCTTGTGGCTAATAGTTATTGCTAGCCTTTGTAGTTGTTGTTTAGTCGTTTAGTCGTGTCTGACTCTTTGTGACCCCATGGACCAGAGCACGCCAGGCCCTCCTGTCTTCCACTGCCTCCCGCAGTTTGGTCAAACTCATGCTAGTAGCTTCGAGAACACTGTCCCACCATTCCATCCTCTGTCATCCCCTTCTCCATCTTTCCCAACATCAGGGTCGTTTCCAGGGAGTCTTCTCTTCTCATGAGGTGGCCAAAGTATTGGAGCCTCAGCTTCAGGTGCTCCTTCCAGTGAGCACTCAGGGCTATTGCTAGCCTTACCCTCCATGGATTTGTCCAATCCTCTTTTATGGCCATCTCAATTGGGGACCGACTATTGCTTCCTCCTTCAGAAGCAAGTTCCACAGTTTATGTGCTGTGTGAAGAAATACCTGCTATTTATCTGTCCTGAGCATTTAGCTTCATTGGATGTCAAAAAGTTATATTGTTATTATAAGGGGGGGCTTATCTTTACCTTCTTCATGCTATTTAGAATTTTATTGGTTTCCGTCATGCCAGCACCTACTCACCTTTTCCGTAAACATAAAAAAAAATCTCAAATGCTGCAACCTTTCCTCATAGGAGAATTGCTCCACCACTTCAATTATTTTGTCTGCCCTTTACAGTGGTACCTCGGGTTACATACGCTTCAGGTTACATACGCTTCAGGTTACAGACTCCACTAACCCAGAAATAGTGCTTCAGGTTAAGAACTTTGCTTCAGGATGAGAACAGAAAAGTGTGGCAGCAGCAGGAGGCCCCATTAGCTAAAGTGGTGCTTCAGGTTAAGAACAGTTTCAGGTTAAGTACGGACCTCCGGAACGAATTAAGTACTTAATCCGAGGTACCACTGTACTGGGTTTCCCCCCAACTCTGCAATATCCTTTTGGAGGAGAGGTGGCCAGAACAGTATTCCAACAGTATTCCAAACACATTTACACCATAGAATTGTATAACAGCATCAAGATACGGTCACTTTTATTTTCAGTTCCTTTCCTGCCTGTTTCACAGCTGCTGCATACTAGGTCGATGTCTTTATCAAGCTATCCACTACGACCTTAACTCCCACCATGTTCAACAGCCCTTACTCCCATGCAAGTTTGCAGAGGACTGAAGGTTTCTATTTCTTTCTTTTTTTAATGATATTTATTAAAATTTCAAAGAAAAGAAAGAGATTACATTAATAAGAAAATTAACAATAAAAAAGAAAAATACAAAATACAAAAAAAGAAAAAACAGTTAAAAACAATTCCATCTTTTCATCACTTCTCTTACATTTACTTATTTCCCGGACCTCCTCATACCACCCTCTTTTGTATTCCAATTCAATTTGTTAGTCCAGCAATTCCTTTCCCTCCTTTTTAATCCTGATCTTTAATCTTGATATATTATAACATTAAATTTTTACGTATTAAAAACCAATTTTTCCATATTCTTTTATACCATTACAGCTAGAAACCACTTAACTTCAATCCGACATCATTCTAACATTCATTAATTTTACAATATTTCTGTAAGTAGTCTTTAAATATATTCCAATCTTCTTCCACCGACTCTTCTCCCTGGTCTCGGATTCTGCCAGTCATTTCCGCCAATTCCATGTAGTCCATCATTTTCATCTGCCATTCCTCCAGTGTGGGTAGATCTTGTGTCTTCCAATGCTTTGCAATAAGTATTCTTGCTGCTGTTGTAGCATACATAAAGAAAGTTCTGTCCTTTTTAAACACCGATTGGCCGACTATGCCCAGGAGGAAGGCCTCTGGTATATTTAAATACCTTTTTTAATTCATTGTAATCATCTCCCAGAAAACCTTAATACTTGGGCACGTCCACCAAAGGTGAAAGAATGTACCTTCAGTTTCTTTACATTTCCAACATTTGTTATCGGGCAAATGGTAGATTTTTGCAAGCTTGACTGGGGTTATGTACCACCTGTATATCATTTTCATAATATTCTCTCTTAAGGCATTACATGCCGAGAATTTCATACCTGTGGTCCACAACTGTTCCCAGTCAGCAAACATTATGTCATGTCCAACATCTTGTGCCCATTTAATCATAGCAGATTTCACCGTTTCATCCTGAGTATTCCATTTCAACAGCAAGTTATACATCTTCGACAAAATCTTAGTTTTGGGTTCTAACAATTCTGTTTCTAATTTTGATTTTTCCACCTGGAAGCCGATTTTCTTGTCCAAATTGTATGCCTCCATTATCTGATAATAATGAAGCCAGTCTCGCACTTTGTTTTTTAATTTTTCAAAACTCTGCAGTTTCAATCTATCTCCATCTTGTTCCAAAATTTCCCAATATTTCGGCCATTTGACCTCCATACTGAGCTTTTTCAGAGCTTTCGCTTCCATCGGTGACAGCCACCTTGGTGTTTTATTTTCCAATAAATCCTTATATCTTATCCAGACATTAAACAATGCTTTCCTGACAATATGGTTTTTAAATGCTTTATGTGCTTTGACCTTATCATACCACAGATATGCATGCCATCCAAATACATTGTTAAAGCCTTCTAGATCCAAAATGTCAGTGTTTTCAAGAAGCAGCCATTCTTTCAACCATCAAAAAGCTGCTGATTCATAATAAAGTTTAGGGTCTGGCAGGGCAAATCCACCTCTTTCCTTTGCATCTGTTAATATTTTGAATTTTATTCTGGGCTTCTTGCCCTGCCAGACAAATCTAGAAATATCTCTCTGCCACCTTTTGAAACAGTCCATTTTGTCCACAATTTGCAATGTTTGAAACAAAAAGAACATTCTAGGCAATACATTCATTTTAACCGCAGCAATACGACCCAGCAGTGAAAGCTTCAAGTTTGACCAAATTTCTAAATCTTTTTTCACTTCAGCCCAACATTTTTCATAGTTATCTTTAAATAAATTCCCATTTTTTGCTGTCATGTTAATCCCCAGGTATTTAACTTTCTTAACCACTGTTAAACCTGTCTCATTCTGAAACCTCTCTCTCTCCATTGGTGTTAAATTTTTCTCTAAAACCTTAGTTTTTAACTTATTCAATTTAAACCCTGCAACTTGACCAAATTCTTGAATCAGTTCTAAAACCCTTTTAGTACTAGATTCTGGCTCCTGTAATGTCAGTACTAAGTCATCTGCAAATGCTCTCAATTTGTACTGTTTGGCTCCGACCTGTATACCTTTAACCAACTGGTCCTGAAGGTTTCTATTTCAGCCAGAAGCGAGTACCAAAGAACTCAGCTATGCTTTTTTTTGTATCACTGTGACAAATAGTTCTGTAAATTAGGAATAAGGAACCTGTGGCCCTCAAGAAGTTGTTGGACTGCAACTCCCATCGGCTCTGGCCAGCATGGTCAATGGTCTGGGATGGTGGAAGGTGCAGCCCATTAGCAACTGGAAAGCTACATGTTCCCCATCCCTGGTGCAATGAAAATGCTGCTATGTTGTCTGCCTCCGTGAAGAGATTATGATCTTGTTTGTTTGTTCCACTTGGTGGATTGCTAATGAACAGCAGTCATCAACTGATCTGCAGTTTGCTGAAGCTGCTTGCTCAGGTGCTTTTGATGGCTAGGGGCTAAGAATTTTTTCTTTAAGGAGCATAATGGCTGTTGAGCATACTGAACTTGTGAACAGCATCTAACAACCCCTAACAACTCTTCATTATGTCATCCGGCAGAGCTTTTCCAGGTTGTACAGTGACTCACTGTGACTTGTTTGCAAAGCATTTTGAGGATAAAATTGCTTGCATCCGCCAAGACCTTGACTCTGCTGTTAAAGCAGATGAATCTCATGGCGCGTCCAGAGCATAGTCTAGTCAGCTGGTAAGGCTTGAGGATGTGGACAAGGTGCTTGGATCAGTCAGGGCAACCACTTGCGCTCTAGACCCCTGCCCTTCTTGGCTGATAAAGCCACTTCTGCCCTTCGGAGGAGGTGGAGTTGCAGGCTTCAGGCCCCACCATGTGCGTGGTGGCTGGAACACAACTCCCGCACAATTGGGGAGATTCCCGGCTGTGTCACCTCCTGGCCAGCCAATCAGCTGGATCTGGGTGTGTGGCCTGCCTTATTTAAAGCAGGACGTGGCCAAGGATCTCCCTCTTTGCCGCTTACCAGCTGTTCCTGCTTTTCCCACCCTCCTGCTCTATAAGGTTTTTGTTCCTGGACCTTGCTATGGACCTTGGTTGGTCACCGTTGAGGGGCCTGGTAGGAATTTTTCCACTTGGCAAATTGGCACCAGCCACTTGGTTTTTGCCTACCTCATAGCAAATCATCACAACTTTCTTGGTATTGGTGGTTAGGCATTGGTATTGCTCTGTAGATGGAAGAGGGGAGGTTACGCCATCACCTGCCCCACATATTGAAGGGTAGTCCAGTGAAGGATTCCGGGGGGCGTGGCCCTGTCCGAAGCCTAAGGAGGTGAGGGCCTAAGGCATGCCCCCCTAGCGGTGACCCTGGGGGAGTTCCTAGTTGATGTGCATCAGCAGGACTCCCCCTACTGGTGGTTAACCCTTCCCGGACTTCTAGCGGATGGGCTATAGTTGGATATAGTCAGTTAGGACCAATGCCTAAGCCAATAGCGCTCATCACCTGTAACCAATAAAAGTTGTGGCCTTATTTAGCCCATTAACCTTAATAATTGTGTCATGTGTCATTATTTCCACGGGGGGGGGGGGGACTCACCTCGTGAAAACCAGCAGGAAGGGAACAGTTGGCTGGGCCAGGGAGGTGATCAGTGCCTCTTTATGAGAGAGGGTGGTCCCTGCCAGTCTGAAGGAGGCAGTGGTAAAACCGTGCCTTAAGAAACCTTCCCTGGATTCAGAAAACCTAACTAACTTATCCCCCTTTTCTGGACAAGGTTCTGGAGTGAGCGGTCGCAGACCAGATCCAGGCACTTTTCTAAGAAACTGATTTCCTGGAACAGGGTTTGGCCCGGTTTTGGCACAGAAACTGCTTTGGTTGCCCTGTATGATTACCTCTGTCGAGAGAGAGACAAGGGAAACCTGTCCCTGTTAATTGTTCTTGACCTCTCAGCGGCTTTCAATACCATCAACCATGGTATCCTTCTGAAGCGACTCTCCGAAGTAGGGGTGGGTGGAACTGCTTTGCGGTGGTTCCAGTCCTACTTGGATGGTCGTCCCCAGAGAGTGTTACTTGGGGAGTGCATTCAGCTCCATGGAACCTTCAATGTGGGGTTCCGCAGGGCTCAATCCTATCCCCCATATTGTTTAACATCTATATGAAACCACTGGGTGGGGTTATCTGGAGGTTTGGAGTACGTTGTCAGCAGTATGCTGATGACACTCCGCTCTAGTTCTCCTTTACATCTGCAGGTGAGACAGTGGAAGTGCTGGACCAGTGTCTTGCCTCAGTAATGGACTGGATGAGAGCCAACAAGCTGAAGCTCAATCCAGATTAGACTGGGACACTGTTAGTGGGTGGTTCCCTAGAGCAGATGGCTGGGAGATCTCCTGTTCTTGATGGGGTTATACTTCCCCTGAAGGAGAAGGTTCACAGCTTGGGAGTCCTCCTGGATCCTTTGCTGTCGCTCGAGGCACTTGTGGCCTCAGTGGCCCAGAGCACCTTCCATCAGCTTTGGCTGGTGGCCCAGCTACGCCCCTATCTGGACAGGGACAGCCTAACTACTGTTGTCTATGCTGTGATAACCTCAAGGTTAGATTACTGCAATGTGTTATACGTGGAGCTGCCTCTGAGGACAGTTTGGAAATCCTGGTCCAACTACACTGGCTACCAATTAGTTTCCAGGCCCAATTCAAAGTGCTGGTTTTGACCTATAAAATCTTAAATGGCTCAGGACCACAATAGCTCAAGGACCGCCTCTTTCCATCTGAAACTACCCACACCCTGAGATCATCTTCTGAGGTCCTCCTTCGTGTGCCTCCTCCTTGAGAGGTCCGGAGGGTGGCAACATGAGAACAGGGCCTTCTTTGCAGTGGCTCCCCATCCATGGAATGCTCTCCCCAGGGAAGTTTGCCTGGCGCCTTCATTATACACATTTCGGTGCCAGGGAAAAACGTTCCTCTTTAAGGCCTTTGTTGATCTGATTTACATACTATGCCCTTTTAAAATGTGGCTCTTCGGGGGGGTTATTTGGGTTATTGATTTTATTTTGATTTTATATATTATGATCTTTTCTGTGAACAGCCCAAAGATCTCTGGATCTAGGGCGGTATATAGATACAGTAAATAAATTCAGGAAGTGAGATAGAAATTCCTTCCCCAGTTTGATCCAACAGAGTAAGCCCAGAAACAGAGAGGCTGAGATCAAAACTGAAATTGTACAATTTAATATCACTCAGAACTGAATTCCCAAGGATTACATTCTGTATGCCAGCTTGGAACTTGAGCTCCAAACTAAAACGTTTCAGGCATTTGAATGGGAAAAGCTGTCAACTGCAATAAATGCAGAAAATGGTTAAGATGGGAAACCTCATCAAAAAGAAAGGGAAACCCAGAGAGAAACTCAAAACAAAACTGAGTTTAAAATGTAGCAGCAGGACCAATTCATTCTCCCTGCTAAACCAATGACCAAAAAAATTATTGATTGGATTGCCTAGTGCTGGGGAAATTGAAGCCAGAGAGAAATGCTGTTATACTTTTTCCTAAGCTTTAGAAGGCTTTGCATAATGACGATGGGGCAGCGAGGTGGGGTGGGAGATGAAAGATCTTTCTAATGAGATCCATATTGCTCCTTGTCAAATATAACAGCATGCCCCAAATAGTACATCTCCTCTCATTTTTCCGTATTCTGCTTTTACAGACTCCATAGCTAGGCCCTCTCCTACAACTAGGGCTATTACACAGGCACAGCAAACGTTTTCATGCCACATATAACTCAGCTGTCATAGGCTGAATATTCACCCAGTTAAGACCATAAGAAGTGTCAACTGGATCAGGCCAATGGCCCATCTAGTTCAGCATCATGTTCTTACAGTGGCTTTCACATGCCCATGGGAACCTGACGAGCAGAGAGTACCTAAATGTAAGAGCACTCTCCCCTCCTACAATTTCAAGCAAAGGGTTTTTGAATTGCCATTGCGCCTGTTGGTTTGGCACAATCCAGTTTCATTCACAACCTCCCCGCCTCCTCTTCTTAGCAGTAAAAATTGCAATGATAATGGGGTTGCTTAGAAGGAAAAAGCACTGGATGCTTAAGAGTAGTCCCCAACCCACCCATATCTATATATTTACAAATATATATGGCTTGAGCTTGGAGGAAGAACATAGGCACTCAGATAGCACTACTCTGTGACTCAGTATCACTTTTCCCCAAAGCAAACAGCATCTACATAGTCCTCCTCTTTAACATAATAATAATAATAATAATAATAATAATAATAATAATAATTGTACCACACCCTACTGACTAGGTTGCCCCAGCCACTCTAGCTTCCAACATATATACAAACAGAAGAAAACATTAAACCTGAAAGAAGAAGAAGAAGAAGGGTTTGGATTTGATATCCCGCCTTTCACTCCCCTTCAGGAGTCTCAAAGCGGCTGACATTCTCCTTTCCCTTCCTCCCCCACAACAAACACTCTGTGAGGTGAGTGGGGCTGAGAGACTTCAAAGAAGTGTGACTGGCCCAAGGTCACCCAGCAGCTGCATGAGGAGGAGCGGAGACGCGAACCCGGTTCCCCAGATTACGAGACTACCGCTCTTAACCACTACACCACACTGGCTCTCTACAGGGCTGCCTTCAGATGTCTTCTAAAGGTTATACAGTCAAACCTCAGTTCCTGAATGGCCCCGTTTTCAAACATTTCGGCTCCCAAACGCTGAAAATCTGCAATGTAATGCTCTGGTTTTCAAACATTTTTTGGACGCTAAATGTCCAATGCGGTTTCCACTTAAGTTCAGGAAGCTCTTGCAACCACTCGGAAGCCAGGCCTCGGTTGTCAAATGTTTTGGAAGCAGAACGGGCTTCCGGAACAGATTACATTCAACAACCAAGGTTTGACTGCATAGTTACTAATCTCCTTGACATCTGATCGGTGCCACTGCAGGCCCTCTGCCTGGTTGGCTGTAGCTTCACTTCTCACAGTGAGAGAACCACCAGAAGGCCTTCAGAACTGGATCTCAGTCTCTGGGCTCAACGATGGGGGTGGAGTCGCTCCTTCAGGTATACTTTGCCAAGGACCATTTAGGGCTTTAAAGGTCAGGACCAACACTTTGAATTGTGCTCGGAAACATACTGGGAGCCAATGTAGGTATCTCAGGACGGGTCAACCAATCCCAGTTACCAGGCTAGCTGCTACATTCTGGATTCCTCCTTCCGACTACAAGCACAACTGCCTCCTGTGCTAGCAATATTGCCATTCTCAACTGCTTTCCCAGACCTCATTTTGCGGGGCACAGCATTCCTCAGTAGCCACCTGAGCCATCAGTGCGAGTGAAACAGCATCTCCTAGCCTAACCATCAGCAGCCATTTGAGCAAGCAGCTTCAGGTAACTACAGAAACATCAGCTGACACCACATATGCCCAACTTAGAGCTGCAGAACTGGCATTTTTAAGAATTTTCATTCCACACTTGTAAGTAACTGATATTTTAGTGTGACGGCTCCTACACTTCGGAACTCCCTGCCCATTGACATTATCCTGTTGCTTCCACTGTACAGTGGTACCTCAGATTAAGAACTTAATTCGTTCTGGAGGTCCGTTCTTAACCTGAAACTGTTCTCAACCTGAGGTACCACTTTAGCTAATGGGGCCTCCCTCTGCCGCCGGGCGATTTCTGTTCTCATCCTGAAGCAAAGTTCTTAACCCGAGGTATTATTTCAGGGTTAGCAGAGTCTGTAACCTGAAGCGTCTGTAACCTGAAGCATCTGTAACCCGAGGTACCGCTGTATTCTTTTCAGTACCTGCTAATACCGGTTCAATTTAGGTGAACCTTCTCAGACCAGTAAAGACAAGTAGCCTGTTATTTTGATTTAGAAATGCATACTTCTAACTGTTGATTTTATTCATTTTGCTTTTTGTTATAAGCTGTTTTTAATGTCAGTTTTAATGCATACTTCATATTCTTTACAAACCACTTCCCGGAGGCTTATGTACAGTTGAGCGGCATGCAAATTTCATTAAGTAAATAGCTACCCGATAGTGAAAAATCAAGACGGGGGGAGGACTCTTCACTTGATGCGACGCTACAGAATTTTTCATTACAGGACTATTTGTCTCAACCAAACAAAAGGTTTAGCTGTTCCTCACTGGGGGTTGCTCCATCTTCGACATCAGTCCTAAGAAGTATCACTTGGTGCAGATACCCAAACCAAGGCAGCCACTGGAGGCACAGAATGGTCAGGAGCATTGTCTCATTCCGTCTGGAAGTAGAGTGACAATTCTATGTTTGGCAACCTGCCCAGCTGCAACTCACTGGGGGAAGAGGGGTGGAACCAACACAGAGGAGCACCATCAAAGAAGCAGCTCTGCAGGCAAGCACACCAAAAAAACCCAAGATTAAAATAAAAAATAAAAACGCCTTACAAGGAGTTGCTTTCCTGCTCTACAATTCCTCAGGGAAGAAGACAGGCAAGCTCAGACAAAACCCAGGTTTATCAAGTGAAGTTGAGGACGAATACTGTTAATAAGAGGAACATCTGGTGTGAAAGCTGAGCTCAAATCTGTACGTGTTAGCAACATGCAAAAGATCTCTGCCTGGCTTGCTGCATTCTTCTAATAAGTAGCCTAGGCTGTGTACAAATTACACACTTTACTCCTCAGCCAGTGCATTCCCACTGCTAGTTCTTGAAGCTGCATTTACGATAGCCACAAACCAAAACAGTCCTGTAGTTTCCTGAGAAATAATGCTGTTTGGTGCATTTTCTCTCTCTCTCAAACCAGCTTCAATCAGACTATAAAGCTTAAAGCCACATTCACTTTGTACTGTAATCAGGTGTGTACATTTGAGATACCCATTGTACATTTAGAAATGTGCACACATGTGCAGATGGCAGCTTCATGAATAGGAGTTCTGGAGATGGGGCTGCAGTGGCAAAGAAACCAAGCAGGTCCTGAGCATTGGCTGAAGACAACCCTGCTCTGATGTGTATAACACTGTGAGAACATCTCTTGAACCACAGCAGGGGGAACGATCTTGATGCATTCATCTCAAGCCCTTAAGGTGTACATAGTCCTGCAGTGTAGGATCATAGGAACAATCCAGACAGTTTCGTACTTTACATTTTGAAGTGGAGTAAACAGATGTTAAGGGGCAGTGGGATCTTTGAAGGTGGGTTCAGGAACTCAGGTGCAAAATACCAGGGAGAGTAGGAAGAATTTGTCCACTTTTTTTTCAGCAGATCAACCTGATTTGACTTTTCCAAAGCTGCTTGTGGATCACAGCAGTACTAGTAGTTGGATCACACATTTCTCCAGATTTTCAGTCCCAAAATATGCACACAAAAGTAGGTATATTGCATTTATAAAGGGCGTGCAAAATGTGTATGTTAGTGGGGAGGTGTACTTGAAAGAGGTGAAATGCAATGAAGAAAGAAGAGTACCTACAGAATACCTACACAATTTACTTGTAGCTCTTTCATGGGATAAGGGAAAAATTTGATTTAGTTTGCATTTAAAGGTGACTCTATCAAATTTGCACTTTTTGGAATCATCCAAGAACCAAAGCACACTCATCTACTGAAATTTATATTTATTTCAATTTTGTGCTGCACTCCTCCAAACAATGTTTACCCCCCCTCCCCAGGCATATATTAGGTAAAAGTGTGCATAAAAATAATTATGCTAGTGAAAATAACACAGAAATCCATTATATTAGAGGAGACCTTGCTTGCAAAAATGTGTGAATCTGTCAAAACTGCATACAAAAATGTGTTTATTAAAAGACATTCGCACAAGAATGTTGACGAATTTCCATGAGGATTTAAAAAACAAACAAATCACCACATGTTCATAAATTGCTGTAGAAATGTGGAGAACTGAATTTAAGATTCGAAAAACGAGAAACTGAGAGAACCAGAATTGACAGATCCTTCCATCCCTAATTGCAGGTATTTTGAAGATGGAGATGAAGTCAAGTGGTATGGATGCTGAGTAGGTTATGCAGGTCTCTTTGCTGTGCAGAATTTTGGAGAGAGAGAAAATATTAAAAGTACCTCACCAGAGCTGCAAATGAGCAGAGAGAAAAATGCAAGTTGTTACAAAAGTAGGTTTGTTTGCTTCCTGAAAGCAGATCTTTTCCTTGAATTTTTTTTTGCAGGGTAACATTTTCATGCAACCCCAAGAGAAACCAAGAGATGCAGCTTCTACCCTGTGCTTGCTCTTCTTTTGCATCATTTGATGCCCACATTATGTAACTAATGATATGGAGGCTAACCACAGAGCCTAACCAAGCGGCTATGCTAGCAAGACAAAGATTAGCAGCAATCCTCCAGTAGGAGGCGAGGAAAGAGGCAGAAGATCAGGCCTATTGACCGGGGCCCTGTGTATTTTATCCCATTAAAACCATGTATTAGATTATGTTCACCAGATTTAAAAATGCAATTAAGCATCAGGCAGAGATTGATTGGAGATGTGAAAACGTTTATTTGCTAGGATAACGAAATATCCAGAGGTTGCTATGCGTAAAGAAGTAGAAAATACGCTATTTGTTCCAGTGTACAAAGTATTTCAAGAAGCGGTAGATGGGGCTTGTCAACCTGGGAAGGGAGCCCATCTAGGAGAAGGAAAGCTCTGTCCTAAACCTCCGCTGCCTTGCAGGATATCTTGGGGAAAAGAAAAGCTGAAGGAGTAAAACCTACACAAATCCAGAGTGGAGTCCCTAAGGCAGTTGGATGGCGCTTCGAACACCTCCTTCCGGCAACTCTTGCAACCAAGCTGGTGCCAAACGCATTGCTTTCCTTTCCTTTGGACCACATCAGTGAAGCAAAAAGCAGGATATTGCTGTCTGGGCATCCCAGGACCTCCATAGACACTGCCCAGGTTTGCACCCCAGGGGTATCACTTCAGTGCTGCCCACACAGAGTTTTGACTTCACCCCTGTAGGTGCACTCCATTGTCTCTCACGACAGATGGATGTCAATCACAGTTTAGTGCTGGGGTGGGGAACCTGTGGCCTTCCAAAAGCTGAGGGTCTCCAGCTCCCATCAGCCACAGCCAGCAGGGCTGGACGTTGGCAGCATCTGGAGGTTGTGTCTTCACCCCTGTTCTGTGGAGTGGAATTTGTGCTCATTAGACAGTACCAAGGTGCTGGCAAGAGGGACACGGGTGGTGCTGTGGGTAAAACCTCAGTGCCTAGGACTTGCCGATCGTAAGGTCGGCGGTTCGAATCCCTGCGGTGGGGTCAACTCCCGTCGTTCGGTCCCAGCTCCTGCCCACCTAGCAGTTCGAAAGCACCCCTAAGTGCAAGTAGATAAATAGGTACCGCTTTATAGCGGGAAGGTAAACGGCGTTTCCGTGTGCTGCGCTGGCTCGCCAGCTGCAGCTTCGTCACGCTGGCCACGTGACCCGGAAGTGTCTTCAGACGGCGCCGGCTCATGGCCTCTTGAGTGAGATGAGCGCGCAACCCTAGAGTCGGTCACGACTGGCCCGGACGGGCAGGGGTACCTTAAGGTGCTGGCAAAAGCAACCAGAGTCTAAAATTATTGCTTTCCATTGACACTGTGGTTTCCAGTGCTAAGAAAACCTAAACAAATAAATGGATGGGAAGGAAATTCAAGAAATGAAGCAGCAGCACTTGCCTTCCCTGCACTCCAGAGCCCTAAACATTTACAAAATGTGGTTTGAATTTATGTTTCCAGGGCAGCTAACAGAGGAGTAAAGGAGAAGTTCAATGCAATTACTATTATTATTAATGGCAATGATTCATACAAACATAACAAATTAAAACCAACGAAAGCTGTTACTGTCCGTCCAGAGAGACAGTAAAAATCAAACTGCTCCAAGTTAAAATTGCTCATGTTAGCAATAACAGTGTGTATCTTGTTTGTTTGTTATGTTACTTAGTTTATTTAATATATTGCTTTAATAAAATATTGGTTTTTTTAAAAAAGAGGAAAAGGCAGAGTGGGTATAAATAAAATAAAATATCGCTTGATGCAGTTTCATAGTGCGGGACCCCCAAGTCCCTCTGGGAAGCTGACGTTTACCAATATCTGGAAATGCTGCAGGTTCCCCAACCCTAAATGCAAAGTCAGGTTATTTCCCAATAACCAAGCAGGTCAGGTCATTTCCCTCCACCAAAAACAGCTATATCAAAAGAAAGCACTTTTCAATGTATTTGTTCCTGGAATAACCTTAATTATTCCAGAAGAATGTGAGTTCTTCTGGGAAAACTATCTACAACATGTCCTGTGATTGTAGAGTCCATCATGCAAGGACAAGGAACCTGTTGCCATGATTAAAATGCACCTTTTTATTTTATTTTTTAAATTGCTTTAGTAAGTTGGCAGCCCTAATACAGTGGCACCTCGGGTTAAGAACCTAATTCATTCTGGAGGTCCGTACTTAACCTGAAACTGTTCTTAAGCGGAGGTACCACTTTAGCTAATGGGGCCTCCCGCTGCTGCCGTGCCGCCACCACACAATTTCTGTTCTCATCCTGAAGCAAAGTTCTTAACCCAAGGTACTATTTCTGGGTTTGCGGAGTCTGTAACCTGAAGCATCTGTAACCTGAAGCGTCTGTAACACAAGGTACCACTGTAAGCAGAAGCACTAGACCAACTTGTGCATTTCCACCCCAAACTGGGTTTGTAACACTGTGATCCTCCAGCTGCTTTTGGGCTCCAACTCCCAGCAGCCCCAGTCAGCAGGGCCAGCAGTCAAGGATGATGGGAGTTGTAGTCCACCAAATTGCTCGGGAGTTCCACACCCATGCCCTAATGCAAGCGTTTTGATCTTACCTGTAGGAAAGCACATAAATACCAGCATAAATAAGCTTGTGTGGAATTACTGAAATATATGGTAGCCGTGCAGAAATAGCTGCTAAAAATGATATTCCTATAAGAACTTTAGATGGGGAGTGCGGGAACCTGCTATCATAAATGCTAATAATAAAACAGATCTCCGCTCCCACCCCTCCTGCTAAAATATGTCCAGCAATAGAAACAACAACAGAATACTTTTGAACCTCTCAGGTGAAGGTTTAGGAAGGGAAATACAGTATGGGGAAGTGACACTGAATTGAGTGCAACTAGAATAACTAAGGATCTTCAATTAGTGGCTCAAATTGTGCTTATAAATTAAGAGCAACCATCCCCCACGGGCAACCAAACTCACGCACATGAGAGAGAGAAATGGGGTGGAGGGAGAAAGAAGGAAAATTAGAAAGCATATGGTGGAACGCTTGGCTGTCTAACTAGCCAGCCTAGCTAATCCCTCCGCCTCCCCGTATTCTTAAAATAGACAGATGGAGCCTTTTGACATCTTGAGTACTGACATCCCCGGGCTGCATTAGCGCTGCCTCCCTCAAAGATTAAATTCTAAAGGCTGGGAGGGGGTGCATGCCCCCACTGCCATCACGCAAGAGATTTCAGGCTCTTAAGAGAAGCACTTCGTGTTCGTACAATCACAACATTGTCAGATAAGCCGGGAGCTCAGGAGAAAGCGCTCATTCCTTCATTCTAAAAGGCGGGTCAGCACCCAAATCTCCCAAAGGACCACTTTGAGAATGAAAACCAGGGAGTCAAGCCCACATACGTAATTTCAAGAACATTTAGAATGTCAGGAGTTCGACCAGACTGCTCCCAATCTCTCCCTGAATCTGCTATACACTTCTCATTCCATTCACAATTAGTAACGTGCGTGCATTCAGCTAAGCTGTTAAGGCAAAGGCAGCGAAAGCTCTGCCCTCCCGAGATGTTGTTGGACTCCAACTCCCATCAGCCCCCGCCAGCAAGGCCAGTGGCCAGGGACGATGGGCGTTGTAGTCCAGTAACATCTGGCAGGCCATTCATTCCCTATCTCTGATTTAAGAGTTGCACACTTTCCTGAGGGCCTGTGATGAGTTGTATTTTAAACTCTGGAAGAATACGAACTAAAATACAGTCGCGCACGTACGCAAGCACACTAATCACAGCTGCGATCCAGTCACACGCGAAATTCAAAATGTGTGCGAGCTCTGGGATACTGAAGAAAAGGGACCTCTCGTGTCCGGGATCGTGTACACCTCCCTCAGAAGAAGCAGAGCACGCGACCTCAAACTTTTCAGGGGTTGGAGGGGCGGGGCATCGCGATCAGAGGGGGTACTTCCAAGTAGGATTCCGCCCCCAATAAAACCCTTGTTTAGAACGTTGCCTTATTCCCACACCCATTCTTCCCGCGGTTGCAACACCCTCCTGCCCTGAGCTTTCCGCGGCGTAAGAGAGAGAGAGAGAGAGAGAGAGAGAGAGAAGAAAGGTGCGGGGGCAGCGCTGTGCCCGGCGCGCCATCAAGAACCCCACCCCCATTTCTTTCCTGGGGGCAAGGAATAAGCAGATCGTCTCCCGCACCCCCGGCCTCGCAAGGGAGGACCCGGTCCCTTCTGCTGCATGAGGCTTTTGCCTCCCCTGAATCCAGGCTTATTCCAGCCAAGCCCTCTCCCCGGCCGAAGCCACTGATCCAAATTCCTCTCCAGCGCGCTCCTCCCCTCCCTGCCCCGGTGCCGGCGCTACTCACATCCAGCGGGTCTCCCCAGGTGCGTCCTGCCCTCCCGCGGCACCTTCTGTGGTTCTCCGAGCTCCGCCCTCTCTGCTGCCCAGCCCTGCCTCTCCAAGCAAGCCAGTCGCCGCCCATCGGCCTCCCCCGCCGCTCAGCGGGCGGAGCGGCAACCAGGCGCCGAGACCCACCCACGCACCCACCCTGCCTGCCTGCCTGCCGCCCCTTCCTCCCCCTTCTCAGTGGCGGACCTACATTTTGGGGACCCTGAAGCTTGAACTCTCATGGGGGCCCCTTCATAACCAGCAACGAGGTCTGGGTAACCACTGTTATCTTCTTCAATGGGGTTGTAACCATTACAACATCTGTGCTTACATGCTCTCAAACTTTGGGATTGTTGAAATACATACGACAAAAAAATCAATTTGAGCCATGCGACTCAAATTGCGTACACGGGACTCATTTTTTAAAGCAATGTGGACTAAGGTCTCTTCTGGGGACCCTCCAGGATTAGGAACCCTGAAACTTAAGCTGCCTTCGTTTCATACCACCCAGACTCCTGCGTATTCTGCAGCAGGCTTGGGTACCCCCTCTCTTCCCCTCCCTTCCCCCACGCTCAGATTAAAAAAGTAGGCAAGAGCATACTTGACCATGTGCAGAGTGCTTTTCTCTCTCTCTAAAGCGTTACAGGGTTTGCTGATCAGGAAGTGGAAGGAGGGGCTTCCAGGTCACAGAAGGGGAGAAATGAACAGACAATGGTGGCAGTGGTGGAGAACTGGAGGCATCTGGAAAACTAGCAAGGCAGTGGGTGCTCAAAGTACCCAAAGCCAAGGGGACAGGGAGTGACAGCCCGCCTTAGCTTCTGTTGTTAGAAACCTGGGAGTGGGAGATTTGACAAAAGCTGGAGGGAGTCAGGGGTTGTGTTGCTGGAGTACACCTCTAGGGGTGAAGTCAAACTGCTGGAGAATCACAGCACCTGCTGTGGCTGCAGAGACTGGTCATTCAGAGCTGCTGCTTCCCATGTTGTTTTAGCTGCTAAAGTGACTTCTCTGGGCAGGAGTGAACCTACTATGAAACTAAGGAAGCTTAAGCTCCAGGGCCCCTAATCCTGGATGGGCCCCAGAAGCAACTTTAGTCCACACTGCTTAAAAGATTTGGGTGCAGTAGACACAATTTGAGTCGCACAACTAAAATTGATTAGTTTTTTGTTTCAACACTCACAAAATCAGTAGCACAGATGTTGTAAAGGTGGAGTGTCATGGTACACAATTTTAAAGCAAAATCTGAGATGTATTCCTAGCTTAAAAGAAAACAATGTGGTGATCTGTCATGCCTTCATGTCATGTTTGCAGGCATCTCTGTAATGCCGTTGGTCTGCCCAAGGCCTGGTGCCTGAAGACAGCTCCCTATAGCGCATGTCATCAAGGATCCTTCCATCTTCTATTCTGTGGGCATGACCAACCCAGCATAGACATCGCTGAAACAGGAGTGTGATCATGCTGGGAACATGAGCTTGGGAAAGCACATCTCTGTCCTACCGATACGATAATAGATTTTGTTGGCATGCCTATTTATGGTATGGGAAAGCAAAGGTGCAGAAGGGATTCCAGAACCACATTATAAGGAAATCAATTTCTCACGTATGGGATAAATATAAAAATTTGTTAGAATGTAAGACACCTTGGTGGCTTTCCCCATTGGAAGCGATATCTCTGAAAAAAGTAAATATGAAAGGATACTAGACTAGGCAACATATAAAGATCTGTTAATAGAATCAGAAAATCAATTAAGGGTGAAAGAATATAATGAAATGGAATTTCTGTTAACAGATTGGTTACAATATGATCAATTAATTGACATATTCAGATGTGATAAAGGGACGGGCTTTGGGAAGGAGTTCGAAAAGGAATTATTGGAAAACAATGAGAAATTGTTATAAAAAAATGTACAGATGAAACTCGAAAAATTAGAATATCATGGGAAAGTTCATTTATTTCAGCAATTCAACTTAAAAGGTGAAATTAATATATGAGATAGACTCATGACATGCAAAGCGAGATATGTCAAGCCTTTATTTGTTATAATTGTGATGATCATGAAGTACAGCTGATGAAAACCCCAAATCTCAGAAAATTAGAATATTAAATGAAATCAGCGAAACAAGGACTGCAAATAAGGCAATATTGGACCTCTGAGAAGTAGAAGCATGCATATGTACTCAGTACTTGGTTTGGGCCACTTTTGCATCAATTACTGCCTCAATGTGGCATGGCATGGATGCTATCAGCCTGTGGCACTGCTGAGGTGTTATGGAAGACCAGGAAGTTTCAATAGCAGCCTTCAGCTCTTCTGCATTGCTTGGTCTCATGTCTCTCATCTTTCTCTTGGAAATGCCCCATAGATTCTCTACAGGGCTCAGGTCAGGCGAGTTTGCTGGCCAGTCAAGCACAGTAATCCCATGGGCATTGAACCAGGTTTTGGTACTTTTGGGAGTGTGGGCAGGTGCCAAAGTCTTGCTGGAAAATGAAGTCAGCAGCCCCATAAAGCTCGTCTGTGGAAGGAAGCATGAAGTGCTCCAAAATTTCCTGGTAGACGGCTGCGTTGACCCTGGACTTAATGAAGCACAGTGGACCAACACCAGCTGATGACATGGCTCCCCAAATCAAGACAGACTGTGGAAACTTCACACTGGACTTCAAGCATCTGGCATCTTTCTCCAGACTCTGGGTCCTTGGTTTCCATTTGAGATGTAAAAGCTGCTCTCATTAGAAAAGAGATTTGGGGATTTTTCGAGTTTCACTTGTACAAACTACTGTCAGAATGGGAGACGGAAGATGAAGAGGTTAAGGTGGTGATGAGACACCTGGCACAAGATATAGGGTATAATATACCACTTGAATTATGGGGAAAGCTGTTTTTACTAGGAATATTAGGAGATGGAGTACCAAATAAGCAAAAGTACAGTGGTGCCTCGCAAGACGAAATTAATCCGTTCAGCGAGTGTCTTCGTCTAGCGGTTTTTTCGTCTTGTGAAGCAACCCTATTAGCGGCTTAACGGATTAGCGCTATTAGCGGTTTAGCGGCTATTAAAGGCTTATCGGCTTAGCAGATTAGCTGCTAAAAGGCTATTAAAGGCTTAGCGGCTTAGATAAAGGGGGGGAAAGCGGAAAAAAAATCTCAAGACTCTCAAGACATTTTCGTCTTGCAAAGCAAGCCCATAGGGAAATTCGTCCTGCGAAGCAACTCGAAAACGGAAAACCCTTTCGTCTAGCGGGTTTTCCGTCTTGCGAGGCATTCGTCTTGCGGGGCACCACTGTAATTGTTTATGTACGTGACCACAGCTGCTAGAATGTTACTTGCCCAGAAGTGGAAGGAAGAAAGTATACCAACGAAAGAAGAATGGAAGACTAAGATGATAGACTATGCCGAAATGGCAAAACTAACCGTGAAGATCAGGCACCAAGATGAAGGAAAATTTAGTCAAGATTGAAAAACTTTATAGATTATTTTAAAGAACACTGCAAGAATGTGGAAACATTAGCAAGACTGTTGTACCATTTATGAAATGAATGCAGAATCAGTTGTGAAAAATAATTGGAAATCAAGTGGGGGAAAAATACAATGAAAATAATAAGGGGGGAAATGGAAACGGGGGGGTCAGTGTAAATTTGGGTTTGCTAGCTATGTATAAGAAAATTGTTATTATTAGAAAAATTGAAAATAAAATATATATTTTTTAAAAAGAAACTCTGTCCTGCCATGTGATACCCAAACAGTGGTGGAGCTTCATGCTCCGGCACTGGGGGGGTGGGGGGCAGAGAGCAGGCGGAGGCGGGGCTGGCGCGCATTTTAGAGGCAGGGCGCGCCACCTGCAAGGGTGGGGTGCGCTTCCTAGGGGTGGGGCACGCTGCCTGCAGGGGCATGGCACCCAGCACAGGTGGGGGGGCAGCAGCGATGGCACCCCACCGGGATCACGCTGCCAGGGGCGGTGCGCTTCCCCCCACATTCCTCTTCCTCTGCCAGTGTACCCAAAATCCTCCTGAAGTGGAAGCCATTGTGGCATTGCTCCTGACGGTTGTAAGTTGCCCACGACTCACTTTTGCAAGGCAGTGGGCTCAACAAGCAAGCTTAGTGGACCTTCCTCCTTAGTATTGGACCATAGGTTCCAACTTTAAGGGGCCCACACCCCTTCACTACCCCCAAATTGGTGAGCCACCCAGCCTCCTTTGCCACCGTTAAGTAAGTTGGAGTTCTTGTTATTAAATATACCAAGAAAAATGTATGCCAAGAACTCAGGCCAATGCAAGTTTCAATAGTGGGAGTGATCCCTACTCAATTATGGATTAGAAACCAGGATAGGGCTGTTTTATAATTTATGGTAATTTAGAATTTAAATGTATTTTCATGTAATATTTGATACTTCCAGCTGATGAAGGCAAATACATCGAAACAGGGCCCTGTCCTGGTTTCTAATCCATAATTGACTTCTGAATTCTGCTCTATGATTGAAACAGAGTCTCCATCTGCAAGCTGATAAATTGTAAGGATCAACATTATTGTCGAGTGAAAAAGAGAAAATATTTGAAACGAATTATTGTGTTATACATATCTTTATGAGTTTGAGTTTGTAATCTCTATTTGAGTTTGTAATCCTTGTCAGAATACATACTTTTGAATGGATTAGTTTTTGTTACTATTGACTATTGATTTGTGAGTAGGGATCACTCCCAATATTGAAACTTACATTGGCCTGAGTTCTTGGTGTACTTTTTCCTTTACCACTGTGGCATGAAAGTGCAAGTAAGACATCCAATCACCTACCTGCCTGCCTCTCTCCCGGGGTGCTCTCCCTCCTCTCTTACCCTCCAGAGGCGTGGCCTGGTCCTGCCCCCCCCCCATGAGCAGCACCACAGACACACCTGTCACAGAGGGAAATTGGCCGCCACCACCACCTGCTGGCAACCAGACAGAAAGAGGAAGCAGCGGTGCACGAGTTGGACCTGCCATTGTCTCCCAGCAAGCCTCCTGCCTCAGTCTCTCAGCACTGGCACCAGCCAGGGCAGCACCGCCTCCCATGCCTGGAGGCTGGCTTCCTGGGTCTTGGAAATACCAGGTGAGGAGGAAGGTGGCACAACCTCTGCCTGACTGGAGGCCCTCATCCTGGGCTGGGCTCGCTTGTCTCTGGCCTCCCTCTCCCTCCTTCCTTCCAGTGACCTTCTAGTGAGGGGCAGGGCAACACCCCTGCCAATATTTTATTCAAGTTGGTGCCACTGTATTGGATGTTAGCATCACATTCTCCCGTGCCCTTTTGGAGAGGTGAATCAAAGCTGCCTTGCCAAAACGCTTGTCCAGCTCTGCATCAATGGAAAGGTTGGTGGTCATGGTGGAGCCTAGGTAGACAAATTTGTCTACCATCTCAAGCATGTGGTCACCAGTGATGATGTGCTGGCAATGTCCTGACCCAGGATGTTGGTCTTCACAAAACATATCTCTCCTACATCGGCCACAGCAGGTGCTGCAATCTTCCAGCAGTTTGACGTCATTCCCAAAGGTGCACTCCTCTATTGTCTCCCGAGACAGACAGATGCCAACAACAAAGATCTGTCATGGAACAACCCCATTGAAGCAAAGAACAGTGGTTACCCAGACCTCATTGCTTGTTGCAAAGGGGCCCCTGTGACAGTTCAAGCTTCAGGGCCTCAAAACTTTGGTCCGCCACTGTCAACAGGGCACAAGTCTAGGTAGTGCGAGGCTTCTGGATATCATGAAGGCAGAGGGCTGTAAAGAAGGCAGAGGGCATGTTAAGAAGATAGGAAGGTGCCTTATACAGAGTCAGACCATTGGTCCATCTCACTCAGTATTACGTAGATTGGAATTAGCTTTCCAAGGTTTCAGATGAGGGACACCTCTAGCGCTACCTGGAGACAGCAGGGATTGAACCTGAGCCCTACACATGCAATGCTCTGCCACTGAGCTAAGGCCCTTGCTGGACTCGAGTCTCCAGCTCCCACAACTCCAGCCAGCAAAGCCAATGGTCAGGATGACAGAAGCTGTATTCCAGCAAAATCTAAAGGGCCACAGGTTCCCCCAACAAAGTGTTAAGAGCACTCCTATCTTCCCCACTCCCTGCAAATAAGTTGAGCACTGCTGTGTTGTGGCATCAGCTTCCATGGACTAGAAGCCTCCACATCAGATGCATGAAGTCTTAGCTTTGGTCAGTAGTGGACGTACATTTTGGGGGCTTTGCGGCTTTAACTATCATGGAGACCCCTTTGCAACCAGCAACGAGGTCTGGGTAACCATTGTTCTCTTTCTCAATGGGGTTGTTCCAGAACAGATCACCACACTTTTACAACATCTGTGCTACTGACTCTTGAGCTTTGGGATTGTTGAAATATATACAACAAAAAAGTAATCAATTTGAGCTATGCAGCTCAAATTGACCTCAAATTTCTAAGCAATGTGGGCTAAGGTTTCTGGGGCCCAGCTGGAATTAGGGGCCTGAAGTTTAAACTTAGTTTCATAGTATTGCTGGACTGCAACTCCCATCCTTCCTGACCTGTGACAGTGCTGGTTGGTGCTGATAGCAGTTCCAGTCCATCAGTATCTGGAGGGTCACAGGTTCCCCAGTTCTGAAGTAAAGGCCACCTTCACCATCCTGGTGTCCTCCATATATTGTGTAATACAGATTATACTGGGGCTGATGGGAACTGGAGTCCACCAGTGCAGGTTCTCAGAGACAGAGGTCCCCTGTGAACCAAGAGGGGATTTTCAAGCAGGGGTTGGTCAGCCTATCTGCTGGAGATGCTTTAGCTCTAGACTAGGGGACCTGCATAGCCTTTGCCCGTTTATTTGGCCTCCTGATATTCTGGGCTACAGGTCCCAGGGCTGATGGGAGTTGTGGTCCAGAACATCTGGAGGGTTGGCAAAGAATGGCCCACAAAGTCTTTTGTAATCCTATGCTTTTATCTACTGGTTGTTCTGGAAAAACAGCTAAGGTGCAATATTACATGGCATCTTAAAGACTCTTTGTTCTCCTTGCTGCGACAGACCAAGGCTACAATCTTACTTGGGAACAACCCTCATTAAACACAATGGGTCTTACTGCCAGGTAGGCATGCAAAGAGATTTAGGCTACCCTACTGGAAGTGGTAGTTCTGGACCATTCACAATTTGCCTAATGAAAAGTTGGGAACAAAGGAAGCTGCCATATGCAGAGTCAGGTCACTGGTCCATCTAGTTTAGTGCTGTCTACACTGAATGGCAGCAGCTCTCCAGGGTTTCAGACCACAGCCTTTTCCAGCCCTTTTTGGAGATGCAGGAGGATTGAACCTGGCACCTTCTGTATGCAAAGCAGATGCTCTACCACTGAGCTACAGCCCTTCTCCCTAACTTCTTTATTATTAGTTTTATTAATATTAATGTTTTCATTCATTTTTTCCCCAGACATCTTTATTGAAAGTAAAAAAAAAAGTACATAATTATATGTGCACTAAACATGGTGAGACAAAAAGAAAAGAGAGAAAAAGAAAAAGAGAAACAGAACCAATGTAGAATTGAAAATAAAGGGGGGGGCGAAACTGTATACAGTGGTACCTTGGTTCTCAAACGGCTTAGCTGTCGAACAAATTGGCTCCTGAATGCCGCAAACCCAGAAGTAAGTGTTCCGGTTTACACATGTTTTTCAAAAGCCAAACGTCCGACGTGGCTTCCACTTGAGTACAGGAAGCTCCTGCAGCCAATTGGAAGCCACGCCTTGGTTTTTGAATGGTTTCGGGAGTCGAACGGACTCCTGGAATGGATTAAGTTCGAGAACCAAGGTATTTTACAAAGTTGTTATTGTACTTCACCAGATCTTTTTCCTTGTGCAAATATTTTTATTAATTTTTACAAATATAATTTCCATCAAAACATATCATTCACCATTACATGTAAGATTCTCTGGATCCTTTGACTTCCCACCACCCTTCTCTGGTTTCCATTACATTCCCTATTTTCATTCAGCTTATCCAATTTTTCTAAATTATTATTAATATTATTTTCTTTTCCTTTGTATCATTTTATATTACAGTGGTACCTCAGGTTAAGAAGTTAATTCGTAATTCTTAACCTGAAACTGTTCTTAACCTGAACCACCACTTTAGCTAATGGGGCCTCCTGCTGCCGCCGCGCCACTGGAGCGCGATTTCTGTTCTCATCCTGAAGCAAAGTTCTTAACCCGAGGTAATATTTCTGGGTTAGCGGAGTCTGTAACCTGAAGCATATGTAACCTGAAGCGTATGTAACCTGAGGTACCACTGTACAATTATTACTCTAATCCTGCCAAAGTTTTTAATTGTTTGCAGTGCTCTTTTAAATACACTATAAATTTCTCCCATTCTTTCTTGAACTTCTCCTCCTGGTCTCTGAGTCTCCCGGTTAATTTTGCCATTTCGGCATTGTCCATCATCTTCATCTGCCACTCTTCTTGTGTTGCAACTTTGTCTTCTTTCCATTTCTGGGTCCTACTTCACCAGATCTTAACCTATTACAGTATTTGTAAGAATGAATTCCAAATATCATTGAATTTGCCCGTGGCAAGTCTGCGTTTATATGCAAATTGTTCATATGTTGTGAGTTTGTATGTCTTCAATCCAATTGAAGAAGGGAGCCGCATTTTTATTTTTCCAATTCATCAGTATCAGTCTTTTCCCCATGATAAGGGCATGGAGAGTTCACTCATACAGTCCTTTTGTAAGGTTCCATGTGCTGGGCATATAATTCAAAAGGATATTTTTCTGTGTAAATGTAAGGTTGTTCCGTACAGTTCTGTTGATAGTTTCAGTTACCTTCTGCCAAAAATCTTTCAATGTAGGACAATGAAAAAAACATGTTTTACAAGAAGCATTATCCCTATTGCATCTCCAACAGTTAGATACCTTAGATAGCCCTTTTTTAATCAAACGTAATGGTATCCAGTATATTCTAAATATTATTTTTTGTTGTATGAGCCTCAATTTAAGGTCCAGGGATGCCCTTGTTATAGCATTTAAAACAGTTTCCCACTGTGTGGTCGAAATTGAGATCTCTAGTTCTTTATTCCATTCCTCCCTCAATACCTGTATATCACATTGGTTTGCTAGTAACAAAGATATACGGTATATAGGTTGATAGCCGTTTTTGTTGTTGTGTAAGAATTAATCAACTGCCATAGATGGTGGTTAGCAAGTGTTTTATCTGGAGATATTGCCATTGAGCATTTGTAGGTAATCTGTATTTGTCTCTTAAAACGGAATATGTATTAAATTTGTCCTCTTCATTTATCAGTTGGTGTAATGTTAATATACCCAAATTCATCCACCTCTTCCATACAACCATTTCTTTCACAGTTTTTAAAGAAATGACCCCACAAAATGACCCCACAAAGTCATTTTGTCACGGGAGAAAAGGTCAATTTTATATTTTTTGTTGCATGTGGTGCCATATCGTTCAAACTGATGTTATTGTTTCAATAGCTTCTTGAGTTTTCATGTATTTAGACCCAAGTGCCACCCATCTTTCTACAGGTGCTACAAAGGAATATTCCAAAGTAGCCCAATTTGGACTATTTTGAGTTATAGGTCTCCAGAATTGTGTACCTGACAGTAGATATGCTTGGTGATATAATTCTAAGTCTGGTATCCCAAATCCTCCTTCTTTTATCAATATATTTTTAAAAAAATTATTTAATCATTTTTTCAATACAAACAACAACCAAAAAAATATATACAACGAAAACCACAATAACACTAATAACACAATTTAACAATTCAGATTTGAGTACTGATATACCTATAACTACACCTTTTAAACAATATTTCCCCACCTCTCCTCCCCCTACTTCCCACCACTGTCCGCCTTATCGCTTAAGTATTCCTTCCAGATTTCTTCATATTTATCCATTCTTAATTTGCGTTGATATGCAATTCGTTCATAGGTAACTAGTCTGTCCATATTGTCAATCCATGTGCTCAATGGGATCTTTTTGCGGCCTTCCTTTATCAATATTTGCATTTTTGAATAGATATTCTTAGAACTGAAGAGAACCAAAAGCATCTTCTAAACAAGATTTAATTTTGTGAAAGTATTTGCTCGGTATGTGAACTGGAATTCCTCTTAAGATATAAACTGTCTAGGTATTATGTTAAGAGCAGTGACTTTCCCCCACAGGGTCAGGGTCAATGATTCCCATCTGTCAATGTCTAGTGATACCTCATGATATATTTTGTTGATGTTCAATTGTCTTTTACAACCACTGGGTGACCCCACTGGGCATGGTAATCCAGTCAGGGAAATAGGGAGGCAGACTATGTTTAGGGTACCTTTTCTAGCTCCTCCCTCTTTTTGGGATGAGCAGAGTGGATCCTAAATAGGGCTGCTCAGTCATGGATACAGCTGCCGAGCTGCTCAACTGTCTCATTCCTTGAGTCAGAGCGACTGAATCTATATCCACCGCCCATGTACCGGTTCATGACTAGGGGCTTCCAGATTTCATGGTCCTGCCCCCCCTTGTCATTTCCCGACTGCCATGGGACTTTTTGGGGTTTGGGATGGGTTTTTGGATGATGCCTGTGTTTGAATTTGTTTTATGTGTATAGATCAGTGCATGCTGACCAACACACAGTCTTTGCAATAAGGCTCTAGTCCGATGGCGTGAGCTGCTGCAGCCTTCATCTGCCTTCACAGCCATGGTATCTTCCACCTGTTCTGCTTTTGAGGACTTCTTGGATCATTCTTTGTCTAGCTCCTCCCCTTTGACCTTTCAACCTTCTAGGGGGACAGCGGAAATGATTTTCACCACTCGACAGCTTCAAGAAAAATGCAGAGAGCAAAACCAACCCCTGTATATGGCATTTATTGACCTGACTAAGGCCTTCAGCACTGTAAATCGTAATGTCCTGTGGCCTGTCCTTCTGAAAATTGGCTGCCCAGATAAATTTGTGAACATCCTTCAGCTCCTCCATGATAATATGAGAGCAACAATTACAGATAACAACAGCTCTCAAAGTGAACCATTCACGGTGGGATCAGGTGTTAAACAGGGTTGTGTTATTGCCCCAACTCTATTCATTATTTTCATTGTCATGATCCTACACTTTCTCAAAGGAAAACTCAAGTAGAAATCATATCAAATTGATGGAAAGCTCTTTAATCTGAGTAGGCGGAAAGCAAAGAGTAAGGTTACCACAACTTCCGTCATAGAGCTTCAGTATGCTGATGACAACATAGTGTGTGTACACTCAGATGATAACCTCCAAACCATCCTAAATATCTTTGCAGAAGCTTACAAAAAGCTTGGCCTGTCATTCAATATTCAAAAAACCAAAGTGCTGCACCAACAAGTACAAAATAACCCCTCTGGACTGCCACAAATCCAACTCAATGGTGTAACTTTGGAAAGTGCTGATCACTTCTCCTACCTGGGGAGTTATCTTTCTTCATTGGACGACATTGATGCCAAAATCCAGCATCTCCTGGGCTTGCCCTTTTCTGCATCTTATTGTGGCACTTCTAGAGTAACAAAATAATATAAATTCAGAATCATAGAACTGTAGAGTAGGAAAGGAACCCAAGTGTCATCTAGTCCAACCACCTGTCATGCAGGAATCTCAGCTAAATCACACATGACAGCTGGGCATCCAACCTCTGCTTAAAAAGCTCCAAGGAAGGAGAGAGTCCACCACCTCTCATGGGAGTCTGTCGCACTGTTAAACAGAACTCTGTGTGTGTGTGTGTGTGTGTGTGCGCATGCATGTGCGCCAGTTCTGTGGATTAACCAAAAACTGCAACCTGCTGAGACCTTATACCTGGGACACCATATGCCTTTGCATCCCATAAGTATAAAAATATGACAGCTGCCTTCCCTTCCCCAACCCAAAATGCCCACTTCTCATGACCTACAATTTTTTCATCATCTCAGTCCAATGTAGAGAGCACAAACACTGCAGTTTACTTGTAGGCACACATTTTTTTTCATATCAGAGCCTGGAGCATTTCCTGTTCACAGCAAAATATAATAACTGGTTTTCAAAAAGCCTCACTTCTCAAATTCTTATTTCCCATATTTCGTCGCCTTCTCCAGTTCAAGTGTAGCAAAATTTTGGCACTCTTCTAGGTGCTGAGGAATAGCTGACAGAATCCTACACTAGCCAGTAATCTGCATCTCTGGTCAAGGCAGAAGGAAGACTCTAAAATAGGATACCATCGCCTTTTCTATATCTTTTGCTGAGTGTGGTTTTGGACCAGGGAGGGCAGCATTTACATATCGAGGCCCCATGACCACCCTGTTCCCTAAGGTGTGAATAACTAGACAACACATGGCATACTGGTTTTTGGGATCAAATAAGGCCACAACTTTATTGGTTACAGA